GACGGAGTCTCACTCTGTTGCCCAGACTGGAATGCAGTGGTGCGATCTCAGGTCTCGGCTCACTGCAACCTCCCCCTCCCAGGTTCAAGTGATTCTCCTGCCTCAGTCTCCCAAGTAGCTGGGACCACAGGCGTGCATCACCACACCTGGCTGATTTTTGTATTTTTAGTAGAGATGGGGTTTCACCATGTTGACCAGGCTGGTCTTGACCTCCTGACCTCAGGTGATCCTCTGCCTTGGCCTTCCAAAGTGCTGGGATTACAGGCATGAGCCACCGTGTCTGGCCTGTTTCTTTTCTTTAAACAAAAAATATTTTTTTGATCAATTCTCATTTGCTTTTACTCACAGATGAACTGTATAACCTCTTTTCCAGGTTCTAGAAAGAAAGTTCTCCCCAGGATTATTGTTGTTGTTTTTTTATTTTGTTTTTTGTTTTTTGTTTTTTTTTTTTGAGGCGGAGTCTTGCTCTGTTGCCCGGGCTGGAGTGCTGGCGTGATCTCAGCTCACTGCAACCTTCATACCTCAGCCTCCTGAGTAGCTGGGATTATAGGCATGTGCCACCACGCTTGGCTAATTTTTGTATTTTTAGTAGATACTGGGTTTCACCATGTTGGCCAGGATGGTATCAATCTCTTGACCACGTGATCCACCCGCCTCAGCCTCCCAAAGTGCTGGGATTACAGGTGTGAGCCACCGCGCCCAGCCCCTTGCACTTTTATGTTATGGAGATGGCTTCTTTCCTTAAACTTCATAAACCAACCTCTGCTCACTTCAACTTTTCTTTGGCAGCTTTCTCATCTCTTTCAGGCTTTATAGAATTGAGGAGTTTAGTCCTTGCTCTGGGTTAGGCTTTGACTTAAGGGAATGTTGTGGTTGGTTTGGTCTTTTATCTAGACCACTAAACCTTTCTCCACATCAGCAATAAGGCTGTTTTGCTTTCTAATCATTCATGTGTTCACTGGAGTAGCACTTTAAATTTCCATTAAGAACATTTTCTTTGCATTCACAACTTGGCTCTTTGGTGCAAGAAGCCTAGCTTTTGACCTGCCTCAGCTTGTGACATGCCTTTCTTACTAAACTTGATCATTTCTAGCTTTTGATTTAAAGTGAAAGATGTGCGACTCTTCCTTTCACTTGAATACTTATGTGCCATTGTAGGAGTTATTAATTGATCTCATTTCAATATTGTTTTGTCACAGGGAATAGGGAGGCCTGAGGAGAGGTGGAGAGATGGGATGGCCCAGTCAGTGGAATGGTCAGAACATACACAGCATTTATCAATTAAGTTCACTATCTTATATAGACACAATTTGTGACTCCTCAAACCAATTGCAATAGTACTATCAAAGATCATTTATCATAGATCCCCATAACACATACAATAATAATGAGAAAGTTTGAAATATTGTGAGAATTACCAAAATGTGACACAGACATGAAGTGAGCACATGCTTTTGGAAAAATGGTGCTGATAGACTTGCTTGACATAGGGTTGCCACAAACCTTTAATTTGTAAAAGTAATATCTGCGAAGTGCAGTCAAGCAAATTGCAATAAAATTAGGTATGCCCATATTCTATATAACCACATTGTTTAAACAGTTAAGGCACGGTGAGCCACTCTGATTTAGGGTGAGCGTTGTATCAGTGTAAGTAACTGTTTACCAGCCAAATTCTCAGCCACCAGCTGGCAAAGGTGCACTAAGGATAGACAGTCTTAGACTTCATGTGTTAACTCTTGTACAGTCCTTGATATGCAGCCCCCACGGAAAAAAACAAAAACAAAAAAAAACTTCACCCTTATTTGGCTCTAAAGTAAAATAAATTAACATGAAGTGAATCATAGACTTAAACCTATTAAAATATTGCTGTTCATTTATTCAGCAGTCTTAGTATATCATTGGTATATAAAAATACCTTATGTAGTGATATAAATAACTAAATAACTTGTCATATTTGTTGCAAGTATATGCCAGAATGCCATTTGCTTTTTTTTAAAATATCCTTTTAGACTTACAGAAATAATAATTTTTGGTTACTAAATCTATTGATTTTCTTCCTTTGAGATGTCTTCTCTTACTTTTTTTTTTTTTTTTTTTTTTAAGAGACAGAGTCTTGCTCTGTTATCCAGGCTGGAGTGCACTGGTGCAGTCTAACTCACTGCAGCCTCCAGCTCTTGCCTCAGCCCCCTCCCCAAATGGTTGGGACCATAGGCACAAGCCACTGCACCCAGCTAATTTTTTTTTTTTTTTTTAACTTTTTTTAGAGACACGGTCTCATTTTGTTGCCCAGGATGGTCTCAAATGCCCGGGCTTCAAGCGGCCCTCCTGCCTCAGTCTTCCAAAGTACTAGGATTAAAGGCATGAGCTACCGTGCCTGGCCCATTTTATCTGTAGAAAGTCCAAATCCTTCCAGTGAATATTCACTAACATTTTCTTTTTTTTTTTTTGAATGCATTTGTTTTTGACGTTTAGCTACTTAATTCATCCTGAATTTGTATGATAATATATATAAGGAGCTTTTCCCCCAAGCTAACCATTTGTTCAGACATCATTGCCTCCTTTATGTGTACTATGTATCTCTGTATGCCATTTTTTTATTTTGCCTGTAGATTTTTGTGCCAAGACAAAGTGTCTTTTTATTATCATTACACAATCATAAAATATTTTAATTCCTGTTAGGATTAATTTTCTTTCATTTCTTTTCTTTTCTTTTCTTTTTTTTTTTTTTTTTTGAGACGGAGTCTCACTCTGTTGCCCAGACTGGAATGCAGTGGTGCGATCTCAGGTCTCGGCTCACTGCAACCTCCCCCTCCCAGGTTCAAGTGATTCTCCTGCCTCAGTCTCCCAAGTAGCTGGGACCACAGGCGTGCATCACCACACCTGGCTGATTTTTGTATTTTTAGTAGAGATGGGGTTTCACCATGTTGACCAGGCTGGTCTTGACCTCCTGACCTCAGGTGATCCTCTGCCTTGGCCTTCCAAAGTGCTGGGATTACAGGCATGAGCCACCGTGTCTGGCCTGTTTCTTTTCTTTAAACAAAAAATATTTTTTTGATCAATTCTCATTTGCTTTTACTCACAGATGAACTGTATAACCTCTTTTCCAGGTTCTAGAAAGAAAGTTCTCCCCAGGATTATTGTTGTTGTTTTTTTATTTTGTTTTTTGTTTTTTGTTTTTTTTTTTTGAGGCGGAGTCTTGCTCTGTTGCCCGGGCTGGAGTGCTGGCGTGATCTCAGCTCACTGCAACCTTCATACCTCAGCCTCCTGAGTAGCTGGGATTATAGGCATGTGCCACCACGCTTGGCTAATTTTTGTATTTTTTAGTAGAGACAGGGTTTTGCTGTGTTGGCCAGGCTGGTCTCGAACTCTTGGCCTCAAGTGATCTGCCTGTCTCAGCCTCCCACAATGCTGCGATTACAGGTGTGAGTTACTGCACCTGGCCTCCCCAGGATTTTAATCTGAGCAGTTCTTAACTAAGACTAGGAAATTTTGGTTGGGAACAAAATATGGTCATTTAGGACCATCAAATATGGTCTCGGTAGGAAAGAACTGAGAAGAGGATAAAGAAAGTGTTATTTTTAAGTTATGATTGTCCAAATCACTAGTATCCCTGTTAAAGCGCCTATTTCTTCTCTTTGATTCCTCTTAGGGGTTTTATGATGTTCTTCGAAGGAACTCTCAGCTGGCTAATTCAATCATGCAAACTCTGCTCTCACAGGTAAAATACATTTTTATGGATATATGGAAAACAGATAATCAAAGATTGAGAGACAATTGATGGTTTTTAGACCTTTCAAAATATAAAATAATTCCCAACTAGTACATTGGTACTCTGTGAACATGCTATGGGTATGTGATGCTGTTCTGGGTTGTCTTTTCTCGGTCACCACTTACCTGTCTGCCATAATACCATCATCTAGCAGTTATCCCTGTGAATTAACAGTCTGTATCCCAAGTCAGAAGGACATTTTGAAGAACCGTTTATATAAGGACTATCAGCAGCTGTATCCATTATGTTATATTTCTGAAAGAAAAAAGAAATACAAAACAAATATAGCAAAATATTATTTCTTAAATCTGGGTAACAGATACATGGATGTCTTTTACGTTCCTTTCTGCACTTTTCAGTTAACAATTTTTTAAATTAGAAGACTAAATTCTTCTAATCTTCAAGATTAGAGACTCTCTACCAGGAGGGTTCCTCTAGACCCCTAGTCTGTCATTTTGTTTGCTCTCAATGCCATTGCTTTATGATAGTTATGAAGTTTCATTTGAAATTAAGGTCTCAGATGTGTGAAAATATTGGAAGGTCCCATACTATCCATCAAAAGCTTTTCATTTGGCCTTGGGCTTGATCCTATATAAAATTTATATTCTGTTAGCTATATTGTATCTTTCAAACTGTAATCAACACATTTACATTGGCATGTTTAACAAAAATAGAAAATTGTGTTTGAAGGCATAGAATAGCACTTTCTGACTCAAGTTAATATGCAGGCCAGTAAAATTCTGCAGACTCCAAAAGTTAAAAGAAAAATAGTAACTCATATTTTTTTGGCTCTCTTATATGCCAAATACTGTTTGAAGTACTTTACATGTATTGTCATGTTTAATCCTTATACAATGAATATTAATAATATCCTCATTTTTAAGATGAGGAACTAAGGTACAGATACCCTTATAAAAACCAGTAATAAGTAATGGTACTGGGATCTTGGACTGAGCCATTCTGACTCTGGATCCTGTATTTTTAACCTCTAAGTTAACTGAAAATGTTGATTGCATGTACAAGTTTAGGAATAGAAGGAATTGGAATAGGAAAGATGAACCTAATCAGTACTATATCCAAAGCAAGAGCACAGGATGTGCGTAAGCCAAAGCAATAAAAATTTGGCTGCATTGTTCTTTGAACAGTTGGGAAATGTGTCTTAGAAGGCATTAGACATTAAAGATACCTTTCACCTGACAAGTTAAAAAAGTAAAAAGCATTTATGAGCCAAGATGTCTTTTTTTCCTTACTATACACAGTTAAAACAGTTCTATGAGCCAAAACCTGATCTGCTGCCTCCTTTGAAATTAGAAGCTTGTATTCTGACCCAAGGAGATAAGATCTCTCTACAAGAACCACTGGTGAGACTTTTATTCTTCCTTCAACCATTATTTTTAGTATTAAGGATAGGGTTGAACTTCACAAAGAGATACCTTTCCCTGTGAAACTCTCTTCCTGGTTCTTCCAGTGAATGTTTACTTTTAAGTCTTCCCTGCTTATCATTTCTGAACCCTTATTATTTTGGATCTATTGGTAAGTTATCTCTGTGTTAGCCCTTTACTAAATCAAGGCTTCCATCACTTCCCCCAGAGAATATTTTATCTCATTTATGAATCTTTGATTACATTTACTAAATATGCTTTAGAATGGGGACCTGCTTCATTAGTCTAGAGGATGTATATGATTTAGGCTGAACTAGGATTGGCACTGTTGAACCTTCAAAGGAGCTGGCCTGGTTGACTTTCTGTTCTTATCTAGCCTTAGGACAGCGAAGAGGATAAAAATGGAAACTCTCACCCCACGTAACTTATAACTCATGGCAGAAGAAAGGAGGAAGTCTTTCCGTTGTCATATCTTACCTTCATTTTTGTGCCTTCTGTGACATGAGATGTCCTCAGCCTAGATCTAAGATGCTGTGTTGGTCTCCTAAAGATTCCCTCAACATAAACCTCTATCTTTAGAATAGCTTCTGGGACTCAAATGAACTACAGAAGATTTAACTTCACCACCTAGCTCCAGGGTTATTTGTATCAGACCAGAGATAGCACATCTAATGTTGCATTTTGAGGTGTCAGCCACTTAGGCCAATTTTCGGGGGGCAGCATTAGAAAAGGATGCTGCTATTCAGTTTATTTTCCCAGTTTCATTAATTTAGATGGACTTAATTTGTAACACTAATGAATCATTTTCTTTATCCTTATAGATAAGAATTATTTGCTGGTTATGAACAACTTTATAGGTTATCCATCAACACTCAAGAGTATTTAATTTACTTATTTTCTCCTACAGGATTATCTGCTGTGTTGTATTCAGCATTGTTTAGCCTGGTATAAGAATACAGTGATACCCTTACAGCAGGGAGAGGAGGAAGAGGAGGAGGAAGAGGCATTCTACCAAGCCCTAGATGATATATTGGAGTCCATTACTAATAGAATGATTAAGAGTGAGCTGGAAGACTTTGAACTGGTAATTGCGAGACTTCAGCTGTATTGAATGATGGAGTTCTTTAGTAGCTTATTAATTTGTATCTTGTGTCTTTTAGGATAAATCAGCAGATTTTTCTCAGAGCACCAGTATTGGCATAAAAAATAATATCTGTGCTTTTCTTGTGATGGGAGTTTGTGAGGTTTTAATAGAATACAATTTCTCCATAAGTAATTTCAGGTAAGGTATTGCTATAACTCCACTTGTAATTTGGTGAATTCTCCATTTTATTTATATATTTTTACTGTAGCAATATTCCAGGCAGTAAACAGACTAAATGAGCACCTAGTCTAAGACTAAACTGTGTTCTTTCCACTAGAGAACACTGAAGTATATGCTTACCAGGCCTATAAAATGAAAGCCCTCCAGCAGGGTTTCACTTACTCAGAATTTCCCAGACCCTGAATTCAAGAACTCCTAATGGAAATTTTGATTGGTGGTAGTATTGGACTTTAATGCTCTGCAGGGACTGGTATAAATAAGGGAGGGGAGGCCAGGCACAGTGGCTCACGCCTGTAATCCCAGAACTTTGGGAGGCGAAGGTGGGTGGATCATTTGAGATCAGGAGTTCAAGACCAGCCTGGCCAACATGGTGAGACCCTGTCTCTACTAATAATGTAAAAATTAGCTGGGTGGTAGTGGTGGGGACCTGTAGTCCCAGCTACTCAGGATGCTGAGGCAGGGGAATCACTTGAGCCTGAGAGGCAGAGGTTGCAGTGAGCCGAGGTCACACCAGGGGAAACAAAACCCAGATAGATTGCTATGACCTGGGAGTATTATATTAACGAAGTTCTATTCATTTATAATGTTTTGTCTAAAATATGATATTTAAAGAAGCATTGTGATTTATTTATTATCATATGTAAAAGTAAACCACAATATTCTGATGTTTGTCCTTAGCAGTCTCTTTTTTGTTTTTTACAGTAAGAACAAATTTGAGGACATTCTGAGCTTATTTATGTGTTACAAAAAGCTCTCTGACATCCTTAATGAAAAAGCTGGTAAAGCCAAAACCAAAATGGCCAACAAGACAAATGATAGTCTTTTGTCCATGAAATTTGTGTCCAGTCTTCTCACTGTTCTTTTCAGGTAAGGTTCTGCTAGAGTGCTTAAAGACAGCCACTCCCTGAGGATCGTATGCCTACCTAGGCTCACTTGTTTCACCTCATTTGGATTATTTACAGTAAGAATTAAGTCAGGAGGTTTTAATTTTCTTGAAATGAATGCTGGACAATCCTAGGTAGGTACTTTAAATAGGTACCTTGAATTATTAAAGGATAAATGAGGAACAGTGGGCTAATAAATGAAAAGATAGGGATGAATTCCAACAGGGTGTTTTAAGAAAGTCTATATAAGTGGCTTGTGCACGATAACAGATTTTAAAAGGTAGGGGGCACCAGGCCTGGTGTCTCACTCCTGTAATTCCAGTACTTTGGTAGACTGAGGTGGGTGGATCACCTGAGGTCAGAAGTTCAAGACCAGCCATGACCAATATGGTGAGACCTCATCTCTACTAAAAATACAAAATTAGCCGGGCATGGTGGTGCGCACCTGTAATCCCAGCTACTTGGGAGGCTGAGGCAGGAGAATCACTTGAACCCAGGAGGCAGAGGTTGCAGTGAGCTGAGATCACGCGATTGCACTCTAGCCTGGGCAACAAGAACAAAACTCTGTCTCTAAATAAATAAATAAATAAATAGACAGATAGGTGGGGAGTGACTGAATTAAAAATACAAAGGAACAAAAAAAGAGACTAAGACTGACATTTAAATTTTATCAAGGTAAAGGATTTGGGGAGGGGGAGAAAATGAGGAACCACTAGGAATAACAATTATAAAAGGGCAGCCATAGCAGTGACTATAGCTTGGGCTGCCTAGAGAGTCTGCCAGTTGGAGCTTACTGGTAAGCTGTTGGGTGCTGCTGTTCTGAACAATTTCTAGAAAGCTTAATTCCATATACCAATAGCAGTAAGGGAATCTTTCTTGTTCTCTCTCTCTCTCTCTCTCTCTCTCTCTAGGGATAGTATCCAAAGCCACCAAGAAAGCCTTTCTGTTCTCAGGTCTAGCAGTGAGTTTATGCGCTATGCAGTGAACATAGCTCTGCAGAAAGTACAGCAGCTAAAGGAAACGGGGCATGTGAGTGGCCCTGATGGCCAAAACCCAGACAAGATCTTTCAGAACCTCTGTGACATAACTCGGTAAGCCACTCCCACCCCTTAGAAACTTACTCCACCTGGCCGTGGTGTCTTCAAGAGAACAAACTGGGAACGGAGGATGAAGGTAATTTGAGGTTACACATATTTTAAGAGTGAAAGAATATAAAAAATTAGCCAAGCGTCGTGGCAGGTGCCTATAATCCCAGCTACTCAGGAGGCTGAGGCAGGAGAATTGCTTGAACTGGGAGGTGGAGGTTGCAGGGAGCTGAGTTCATATCACTGCACTCTAGCCTGGGTGACAGAGCAAGACTCTCAAAAAAAAAAAAAAAAAAAAAGCCAGGCACGGCAGCTCACACCTGTAATCCCAGCACTTTCGGAGGCTAAGGCGGGTAGATTACCTGAGGTCAGGAATTCGAGACCAGCCTGACCAACATGGGGAAACCCTGTCTCTACTAAATATACAAAAATTAGCCAGGCTTGGTGGTGCATGCCTGTAATCCCAGTTACTCGGGAGGCTGAGGCAGGAGAATTGCTTGAACCAGGGAGGTGGAGGTTGCGGTGAGCGTAGATTACACCGTTGCACTCCAGCCTGGGTGACAAGAGCAAAACTCTGTCTCAAAAGAGTGAAAAAAAGTGCAGTCATTGACATAGGGTCTTTTTTCTAGTCCTGCCTTCCCCTGGCGCACCCCTCCTTTTGTTTCTTTTTTGTTGTTTTTTGGGGTTTTTTTTGAGAGTCTCACTCTGTTGCCCAGGGTGGAATGCTATGGTGCAATCTTAGCTCACAGCAACCTCTTTCTCCCAGGTTCAAACAGTAATTCCACTGCAGCTTTCTGAATAGCTGGGACTACAGGTGCATGCCACCATGCCCAACTACTTTTTAATTTTTAATTTTAATTTATTTTATTTACTCCTTTTTTTTTGGAGACATGCTCTGTTACCCAGGCTGAAGTGCAGTGGCGTGATCTTGCTTACTGCAACCTCCGCCTCCCCAGTTCAAGTGATCCTCCTGCTCAATCTCTCAAGTAGCTGGGATTACAGGGATGCGCCACCATGCCCTGCTAATTTTTGTATTTTTAGTAGAGACGGGGTTTCACCATGTTGGCCAGGCTGGTCTCAAACTCCTGACCTCAAGGGATCCACCCACCCCGGCCTCCCAAAGTGTTGGGTTTACAGGTGTGAGCCACTGCACCCGACCCTTATTTTTTTTTTATTTTCTGTAGAGATAGGATTTCACCATGTTGCCCAGACTGGTCTTGAACTCCTGGGCTCAAGCGATACACCCATGTCCGCCTCCCAAAGTGCTGGGATTACAGGCCTGAGCCTCTGTGGCTTTTGTTTTTTGTTTGTTTGTTTGTTTTCCATTTAAAGAGATAGGGTTTGCTGTGTTGCCCAGGCTGGCCTTGAACTCTTGGGTTCACCAGGGCTTCTAGTTTTGCTTTGATATAGATTGTTAGTCACATATAAAATGTTATGCTATTACTGGGGCAAAAAAGAGGGATACTACATAATGGTTATGTGATTCAAAATACTTAAAGCAAAAACTGATGGAACTGAAGGAAAAATAGACAAATCCTTAAGTAATGTAATCAGCCTTCTCTCTGTAGTCAAAAAAAAGAAAACAAAAAAAAAAGCAGTAGATAGAAAATCTACTGGAAGGAGGTAGAAGAAGTGAACAACACTGTCACCCAGCTTGATTTAATTGACACTTAAAAGAACACTGTGCAGCAGCTTCAAAATATACATTCTTTTTATATGCACATGGTGTATTCACCAAGATGAACCATATTTTGGGCCATAAAAACTCAGCAAATTTCTACTAAAAAGTAGAAATTCTGTGACCACAACAGAATAAAAGAAGAAAGCAGTAACAGAAAGATATCTAGATAATCCCCATATATTGGAAATTAAATGCACTTTTAAATAGCCCGTAGTCAAAAAGTCATAAGGGAAATTAGAAAACATCTTGAATAGAATGGAAACAAACAGACAACATGTCAAAACATATGATCCAGCCAAAGCACTACTGAGGAAATTAAAGCAGTTAGTGATTTAAAAATCTTAAATCTCCCATATAAACTTCCACATTAAGAAAACAGAAAAAGAAGAGCAAATTATAATGAAAGCAATCAGAAGGAAGGAAATAGACAAAAGCACAACTATGAAGAAGCAGAAAATTAAAATAGAAAACAGAAAAAGAAAGTTGGTTCTGTGAGAAGATCAATAAATTTAATGAACTTTAGCCAGACTAATCAGAAAAAGAGAAGACACATTACAAATAGCAGAATTGAGGAAGAGGGGACATCACTACTGATCCTACAGATGCTAAAAAAGGGATAACAGGGCCGGGTGCGGTGGCTCAAGCCTTTAATCCCAGCACTTTGGGAGGCCGAGACGGGCGGATCACGAGGTCAGGAGATCGAGACCATCCTGGCTAACACGGTGAAAAAACTAGCCGGGCGTGGTGGCAGGCGCCTGTAGTCCCAGCTACTCGGGAGGCTGAGGCAGGAGAATGGCGTAAACCCGGGAGGTGGAGCTTGCAGTGAGCCGCGATCCGGCCACTGCACTCTAGCCTGGGCGACAGAGCGAGACTCCGTCTCAAAAAAAAAAAAAAAAAAAAAGGATAACAGAATATTAACAATTTTATGCCAGTAAACTTTAATAGACAGATTTCTTGAAAGCTCATTCAACAAAAAATAGGCAACCTGGCCAGACGTGGTAGCTCACATCTGTAATCCCAGCACTTTTGGGAGGCCAAGGCAGGTGGATCACCTGAGGTCAGCAGTTCAAGACCAGCCTGGCCAACAAGGTGAAACCCCAACTCTACTAAAAAAATACAAAAATTAGCCAGATGTGGTGGCGTGCACTTGTAGTCCCAGCTACTCGGGAAGCTGAGGCAGGAAGACCACTTGAATCCAGGAGGTGTGAGTTTGCAGTGAGCTGAGATCACCTGACTGCACTCCAGCCTGGGTGACAGAGTAAGACTCTGTATAAAAAAAAAAAAAAAAAAAAAAAAAAAACCTGAGTAATCATATTTCTATTCAAAGAAATTGAATATGTGGTTCAAACTCTTTTCACAAAACTTCAGATCTAGGTCTATTCAGTGATAAATTCATCCAAACATTTAAGGGAGAAGTAATGTAAATTCTGTGCAAATTCTAGAAAATAAGAGAGAACATATTCCACCTCATTTAATTAATGAGGTCAGCATTACCCTGATACTAAACCAGACCCAGACCATTGCAAGAAAACTGCATAGCAATATCCCTCATTAATATAGAGTCTGCTGTGTTAAAGGCAGACTCAGAAGGCTATATACTGAATGATAACCATTTTTGTATGATGTTTTGTAGAAAGTAAAACCATAGGGACAGAAATTAGATCAGTAGTTGCTTGGAAATGGGAGGAGAGCATAGACTATCAGTGAGCATAAGGGAACTTTTAGAGTGATAGAAATACCTTGATTGTGGGGAGATTACACAACCATATAAGTTTTTTTAAAATTCTAGAACTGTTCACCTACAGGGTATGAATTTTACTGTATGTAATTTTATCTTGGTGAACCTGTCTTTAAAAACAAAACCACTTTACCCTGCTTCAGAGTCTTGCTATGGAGATACACTTCAATTCCTACTTCAGTGGAAGAGTCGGGAAAGAAAGAGAAAGGAAAGAGCATCTCACTGCTGTGCTTGGAGGGTTTACAGAAAATATTCAGTGCTGTGCAACAGTTCTATCAGCCCAAGATTCAGCAGTTTCTCAGAGCTCTGGGTGAGCATTGCAGTATCAATAAATTGACTTGATTTAGGTTTCTCCTTAACTCAACCCCTTAATTCCATTTGTTAATCTACCAGAAGACACTTGAGAACAGTCCTAATGTTGCTAAGGAGTGACATCTAGTGGATTCAGGATTGGCACCTACTGGATTATATTCAACCACAAAGAGTGACTGGAAAATGGAATATAGTATTAAGAAATCACAAAATTTTAGAAATAAATTTAACTCTGCCTTTAGACTTTTTTTGGCTTTCAAAAATTTTAGCTATTAAAAGGCCAAGAAGCATGAGTTTATATCAAAGAAGATAGAGTTTCTTTTCCATTCATAGATGTCACAGATAAGGAAGGAGAAGAGAGAGAAGACGCAGACGTCAGTGTCACTCAGAGAACAGCATTCCAGATCCGGCAATTTCAGGTGAGAAGCCTTGCGAAGCTGTTGTAGCAGCCTGAGGGGCTTTGCAAAGGAACTGTTAGCAGGGGCAGCTGGTAAGAATGGGCAGACAGTGACCAAGTAGGAAATGAATTTTTTCTGGGTCATCCAAGCCACAGGACATAGCTCTCAGAATGGAAGATAATGTATAGTGAGGATGTGTATTTAGCCACCCAACCTGCAATACTCATTACCTCCAAGGACCACTGTTTGAGTTGATGTAAACAGAAAGGAATCTTCAAGGTATAGAGTCTGTTTTTGTTTCTGAGTCTGTGGTATAATTTGGCTTGGTCTGATAGACTCTGTAAAGACTGGACAATATAGCTTGTTAGTTTCTTTTTTTTTTTTTTTTGAGACGGAGTCTGGCTCTGTCGCCCAGGCTGGAGTGCAGTGGCCGGATCTCAGCTCACTGCATAGCTTGTTAGTTTCTAACCAATAGTTGTCAAAATATCAGGATGTTCTATCACAGGACTTTTTTATTTAACAAGTAATTTTGAAGTTCCTACCATGTGCCAGAAACACTTCTAGGTGCTGGGGATATAGCAGGGAATAAAAGAAACAAAATATTCCTATCCTTATGGAGCTTACATTATAGTAGAAAGACACTGACAAATAATCAAATACATAGTTATTTCAGGTAACAGGGAAGGTATATAAGGAACGCTGGGTTTGGTGCCTGGTCTAAGCCTGAGATCAATGGATAGGCTCCAGGGAGCTGTGAGCCACCAGAAATTGGGTACATAGTTCCTTATCTACATTTAGCATGGGGTTGGAACAGAAAGAGCCAGTTTTCAGGAGAATTCTCAGAGAGGTTTATGGTCAAAAACAGCTTAGGAAACTACTGCTCAATTCAGAATTATTTTCAGATTTTATCCTCTTGGAATTTTGGTAGCTTTGAATTCTTTGTGTCCTAGTCTTAGGAGTCTCTGACTAGATGCCTCTTCTTCCTGATAGGATTGTGTCTGCTAACCTTGCTTGCTGTGTGTGCCTTCCTTTCTCAGAGGTCCTTGTTGAATTTACTTAGCAGCCAAGAGGAAGATTTTAATAGCAAAGAAGCCCTCCTGCTAGTCACTGTTCTTACCAGTTTGTCCAAGCTACTGGAGCCCTCCTCTCCTCAGGTACTAGTACCACTCAATTCCATTTAGCATTCCTTAGAAGGCAAGGATTATTGCATCATAAAAGTGTATATCTAAATGTCCTCTTGAAGTTGAACTTATTTTACATAATATGTTAAATTATACACCTGAGTTAATATAAGACCTGTAAGATATATTCTTTCCTACATAATATGTCTACCACAACATACTTATATGCAGCCATACAGGGCAAGAACATACTGCTTTTGTTTTGTTTGTTCCGGGTAGAGTGAAACACCACGGAAAGAATCCTGTGTGATCTTTGGTGCCTTCAACCTTCTTAAACCTGTGTTCTTTGCCACTCTTGATGTTTCCCCTTTTCTAAGAAGAAAGTCTGTTAATTATGAAGAAGGCAGTTGACATTCAGCAGCTGACTTTCTCAGCACAATTACCTGGTACTGACTTTGGAGGAAATTCAACCAAAGATGATTAATTCAGAAAGTGTAACTATATCCCCAAAGCAGAAACACCTCTGCAGAGATAGGTTGTATGTATATATGTGTAAGTGTGCACCCACATGAGCGTTCACACACACAAGAATAAGAGAAGGACCGCATGTTGGGGGTCTGTTCCATTCAGGAGTAATTTTCCTGTAGGATGATAGAGTACCTACCGGAGCCCAGGACTGTGTGCTCCTACCACATCTACATCCTGGGCTTGAGAAAGACAATGAAGCCCTGCAGTATACTCCTCTTTATGTGAGCCCTTGCCTCAGAAGACTTGTAGCCTTCTGAGTATGAAGGTGTTTGGCACTAGAAAGCAGAGCTGTTTCCTGTTGTCCTACTTCCAGGTTTGCCCAAAGAAAGTCCCTTTTGTTACTTCATCCCAGTTCCAAACAGCTCACCCCCACTTTGCTTTCAGCATCATTATTTCATACTGCTGTTTTTGCTGCAAAGAGTAAAGGACTGGGAAGGAAATAGATAATTGGGGCAGGGGGAAATTTGAGAGAAAATAAATGGATTTAGAAAGGCTAAAATTTATAGGAAAATTAAAAAATGTTTCTTAAACTTTAAACTTTTAGATTTTTAAATGTTTTACCACCTACCCCTTCTCCCTTAATCTCAGGTAGTCTCTTTAAATTTTTTTTTTTTTTTTTTTTTGAGATGGAGTCTTGCTCTGTCACCCAGGCTGGAGTGCAGTGGCGCAGTCTCAGCTCACTGCAAGCTCCGCCTCCTGGGTTCTTGCCATTCTCCTGCCTCAGCCTCCTGAGTAGCTGGGACTACAGGTGCCCGCCACCACGCCCGGCTAATTTTTTATATTTTTAGTAGAGACGGGGTTTCACCATGTTAGCCAGGATGATCTGGATCTGCTGACCTCGTGATCCACCTGCCTCGGCCTCCCAAAGTGCTGGGATTACAGGCGTGAGCCACCGTGCCCGGCCAAAAATTTTTCCATTTAATTTTGAATTGGTAATAAAGTCCTGTGATTTGAAAACCAGAGATTATCAAGAGATTTATGGTGAATGGTCTCCCCCACCCATGTCCTCCATCTGTTTAGTTCCTCCTCTCCCCGTAAGTAAACACCTTTAGTTTTTTGTGTCCTTCAACCTTCTTTATTCCTCTCCAAGTAAATACAGAGTTTTATTCCCAATCCTACCCCTCTTCACAGGAAAACTTGTACATCCTGCTTATTTCATTGAACATAGTATTCTGAAGATCTTTTAATATCAGTTTGTAGAGAGCTTTCAGTTAGCCTCTTAATTTACCTTTTTTCTCAACAGATCAAAACTGCATTCTTGTTAGTCATTTACACTTAAGTATAACCGCATTTCAGTGCCTTTGTAGCTGAAAGAACTGCTGAAGCAGAAAGGTGACTGTGTGTCTGGTGATGCAGACCCTTGCTATCTAAAGACCTTAAGTCTCCTTCACTTAGCTAAGAAAATTCTGTCTGGTTTCTTGACTCTTTTCTCTTTTTTCTGCCCTTCTCTCTTCTAACCTCCTTTGTTCTTTCGGCTTCTAAATGCTAATTCTACTGTTCTTATAGCCAGGATTTCTCTTTCCCACACCTTTCTGATAACCTAATATTCTCAAGCGGAGAGTCTGGGTGCACGGGAAAGAAAAGAGGGTGCTTTAGCCCTAGACCACTATGGTAGAAGCAGAGGAAGTTCAGGTGTAAGGACCCCAAAACTTTTGGCCCTCAATAAGGACATAGACATTGAGAATTAAATTATATATTATTCTCATAATTCTTAGAATTTTGGACTTATTTTTATGCCCTTCGTCATATATTACCACTTGAGATCTAAGAACATATTTTAGCAGCTGATTTGCTTAGACAGGGAAAGGTCTAGAACTCTTCTGACAACACCTAGGTCTATCTCTGGCATGTTTCTTTAATATCTGAATGATCTCTAATTTAGTTTGTGCAGATGTTATCCTGGACATCAAAGATTTGCAAGGAAAACAGCCGAGGTAAGTTTCCTGCCATGTTTTCCTAAAGGCTTTATATAAAATCACTATCCTCCAATGGCATTGGGAAAAGAAAAGGTATTCCCCATTCATTACACATTCACCAGAGTGGTCAAAATGAAACAGACACCTAATACCAAGTCTAAGTGTTGGCAAGAATGTAGAGTAGTTGGGCCTTTCATTCACTGGGGGTGGAGGTATAAATTGGTATAACCACTCTGGAAAGCTGTTCAGCAATATCTACTAAAATTAAATATATGCCCATGACTCAACAATTCCAGCCACAACAGAAAAATGTGGAAGAGTCCTCTTAGCAGCACTATTTTAATAGGTAAAAATAAACCTAAGTGTTCATCAGCAGTAGAAAGGATAAAAGAATTATGATATATTCACACAGTGGAATCCTATACAGCAAATGAGCATGAACAAACTACATGTACACACAACTTGGAGAGGATCTCACAAACGTACTGTAAGACAAAAGAAGCCAGATAGAAAAAAAGGGTATTTACTGTAGAATTCCATTTAGATGAAGTTCAAAATTAGACAGAATTCATCTGAGATGTTAGAAGTCAGGATAGCAGTTTCCTTGGTGGGGCAAGTTAGGAGGGAGTCCCTAAAATACTCGTAATGTACTTGATCTGGATGCGAGTTACACAGTAATCATGACTAATGATGGGAAATGTCTGCCTTCTTTGGGCACTTGGATAAAGAGGCATCATTGCAGACTAACTGCTTGGCTGTAGTATGTGTAACACTGGGATGTTGTGCCTGGGACATGACAAGTTACTTCCTGTTCTGGTTAGGCACTCCACCCCACATACCCTGTACACATACCTGAGGGACCTGACTGGGTTATAACTTACCTTTTTTTTCCCTTTCTTTTTTTTTTTTTTTTTTTTGAGACAGAGTTTTGCTCTTGTTGCCCAGGCTGGAATGCAATGGCACAATCTTGGCTCACCACAGCCTCTGCCTCCTGGGTTCAAGCAATTCTTCTGCCTCAGCCTCCCAAGTAGCTGGGATTACAGGCATGCGCCACCACGCCCAGCGAATTCTGTGTTTTTAGTAGAGATGGGGTGTCTCCATGTTGGTCAGGCTGGTCTCGAACTCCTGACCTCAGGTGATCCACCTGCCTTGGCCTCCCAAGGTGCTGGGATGACAGGCGTGAGCCACCACGCCTGGCCATAACTTACCTTTTAATTTGCTTTTCTTCCTATTCCTAGAGGATGCCTTGTTTTGCAAGAGCTTGATGAACTTGCTCTTCAGCCTGCATGTTTTGTATAAGAGTCCTGTCATTCTGCTGCGTGACTTGTCCCAGGATATCCATGGGCATCTGGGAGATATAGACCAGGTACTATAATGAGTCTTCAGTACAATACCCTGTGTGGGGATGGGGGTCAAGGGAACAACCTTACTGTCATTAGGTCTCACCTCTCTTTTTTTCCCCAGGATGTAGAGGTGGAGAAAACAAACCACTTTGCAATAGTGAATTTGAGAACGGCTGCCCCCACTATCTGTGTAAGTGTTGTACCTGAGCCATGGAGAATAGCTTTGTCATTCCTTCCATTCTACTCTATGTGAAGTGACTTGTGTCCTATAGTAGCTTGTGTCCTGAGACCTGTAACCCACCTGTAGGTGGCCAGGTGACCACAGTTATTATATTACCCCGACAGCTGTGTGTAGTGAATCACACCAGGCATTCTTTTCTTTCAGTTACTTGTTCTGAGTCAGGCCGAGAAGGTTCTAGAAGAAGTGGACTGGCTAATCACCAAGCTTAAGGGACAAGTGAGCCAAGAAACTGTATCAGGTAAGATAAGTTCAACTGGGATTCCAGGAATTGACATGAGCAAGGTCAAAATTCATACTGGGCTAGTGCATAAAAATGGAGCCCCTGAGCTAAATTTCTTATTTGCTTTTAAGCTAGATTTTTTCCTATGTGATGAAAGAAGTAGAAGATCGTATGTCTTATCACAGTACAATTATTAATTCACTCTGCATATTGAATGTTCATTTTTCCATAAAGACTTTTTAGTTAGTAGTAATCAATTTCTAAATCTCCTTTACTCTTAACTAGAAAATGAAGTTGGGTTTGAATGTGCCAATTTTATTTTTCTTTAGAAGAGGCCTCTTCTCAGACAACTCTGCCAAATCAGCCTGTCGAGAAAGCCATCGTCATGCAACTGGGAACTCTGCTTACATTTTTCCATGAGCTGGTGCAGACAGCTCTGCCATCAGGCAGCTGTGTGGACACCTTGTTAAAGGACTTGTGCAAAATGTACACCACACTTACAGCACTTGTCAGATATGTAAGTATTTGAGACAAGCAGATTCACCCCCACCATTCTACCCCAGTGAGCCAGGAGATGAGGCTGGGGCAGTAGCCCACTGCTGCAGAATGTCCCCAAACAAGAGAGCGTTTGCCTCCATCTTGGCAGGTCATGGTTTCATTTTAGTTTGGTCAGTACGTGGCAGGCATCTCCACAAGCCAGGGAAAAAGAGTTTATAATTCTGATCTGCTTTTGGGTGATCAAAAGGCATGGTGGCTCATGCCTATAATCCCAGCACTTTGGGAGGCTGAGGCGGGTGGATCACCTGAGGTCAGGAGTTCAAGACCAGCCTGGCCAACATGGTGAAACCCCGTCTCTACTAAAAATACAAAAATTAGCCGGGCGTGGTGGCGGGCGCCTGTAATCCCAGCTACTTGGGAGGCTGAGGCAGGAGAATCGCTTGAACCCGGGAGGTGGAGGTTGCAGTGAGCTGAGATCGTGCCACTGCACTCCAGCCTTGGCAACAGAGACCCCATCTCAAAAATAAAAAAAATAAAATAAAAATCTGCTTTTGGAGGCCTTTAATTTCTTGGCATGTATGTGGCACCTGATTGAGAATGAATGCCTCTTTTAAATACCTTCTAAGGTTTAATCTAAAACGATCCTAGAATTAAATCTGAGCCCATAATGCATAGAAATTATACCATTTCTAACCAGTCTGGACACTAAAGAGATGTTTATTCCTTTTTTCATTCCTTTAACATGTAGGTGTTAAATGCCTTATAGATCAAGTACTAAGGTGGGGAAGACAATTGTTTTTTATAAAAATACAAGGCGTACCCTGCCCTTACTGTTTGTGTTTCTAGCAACGATCCATATTAAATACTTAGAAAGGCACAGATAACCCAAGAAAGATGTGGACCACCCTGCATCACAGCAGTGTGGCTCTCTCAGAATGTGCAGCTCTAACTACATGTGGCTAAGCTGCTGTAGTGGAAACACCGAGAGCCTCTTCTCTTTCTTGGCATCTTTAAAAGGAAAACCAGCAAAGTTGTTGGGTTTTATATACAGGGACTATCAACCTGAGGAATTTTTAAAGAAATGAGCAAGTCAGAAACAAACCCTTCATTACCTATTGTCTGGGAAGCTTAGGAGCTTTGGAGGAGAGGAATAAGGAAGCCTTGTGTCTTGGCTTCTCTGTGAATTTTTCTTTTCCCTCTTCAGTCAGAATGATGAGTCACACTCCATAAGCTCACTACAGCAGTCACTTGTAGCTTCATAGGATAGTCTGCTAAATCTAGTAATCTTTTTTTATTAGTATCTCCAGGTGTGTCAGAGCTCTGGAGGAATTCCAAAAAATATGGAAAAGCTGGTGAGTTGAGAATGTCTTTCCTAGGAATGGGGGAAGCACTTTTATTGCTGGTTACATTGGTTTCCTTTTCCCTTGTTGCAGGTGAAGCTGTCTGGTTCTCATCTGACCCCTGTGTGTTATTCTTTCATTTCTTATGTACAGGTAAGTGATTCAGAGGCAGTACCCAATAGGTCTTCAAGAAAGGATTTCTTACATGCCCAGGGGACTATTGATCACCTGAACTGAGCATGTATAAACTTTTTCCCCTGCTTACCACAAGCTGGAGGCACCCATCAGAGACCAAGTCAAGGCTTGAGGGCTTTGGAGCAAGGAGATCTTTATTTATGTAAAGAAAACTGTTTTACTTAATTTGGAGAAAGGAAGCATATATGTTTGCATTTGGAGCAAGGAAGGAAAAAGCATGCTTGGGCTCATGGACTTGGTTTATTCCTGGGTGACTGAAAGTCCATGCCATGAGGCATCCTCTGGGAGTGTGAGCAGAGTAGCAGCAAGCACATGAAGAAGGGCTGTGAGGAGATGGCAGTGCAGTGAGGGCACTTTCAGGGAGGTGGAAGGACGTGGGCTTTGTAGGTGTCATTTGGTCCTAAATACCATCAGATTCCGGCAGTACTTGAATCTCCTTTACTGTTTGCTTAAACCAGAGTTTTTTAACCTCACCACTATTGACATGTTGGGCTAGATAATTCTTTGCTGTGGGACCTGTTCTGTGCATTTTGGGATGTTGAGCAGCATCCCTGGCCTCCACCTACCGGATGCCAATAGCAGCCCCCTAGTTGTAACAGCCAAAAATGTCTCCAGAAATTGCCAGTTGTCCTTAAGGGACAGAATCACCCCTGCTTGGAAAGAGGAAGAAACGAGAGATCTACTGTCTCCTAAGGCCACTTAGTCATGCAGTAAATGTATCACAGGGCTGTTACTGATCTTTGAGGAATCAAAGAGAATGGGTCCACTAAGTGTCAATCTCAACCAAGATTCTAGAACCAATTATTAAAGCAATGGATTGTGACCACTTTGATAGTGATGCTTCACTTGTTTTCTGCCTCTGCATCACTTACAGGCACAATATCATTTTATCGGTAACTTGCCTCAGTATGTGTATTCAGGGTGCCTCTTCCCCTCCCTTTAAGAATCAGCAATCGGCTGGGCACGGTGGCTTACTCCTGTAATTCCAGCACTTTGGGAGGTTAAGGCGGGTGGATCACCTGAGGTCAGGACTTCGAGACCAGCCTGGCCAATCTGGTGAAACCCCATCTCTAATAAAAATACAAAAAATTAGCTGAGCATGGTGGTGGGCACCTGTAATCCCAGCTACTTGGGAGGCTGAGGCAGGAGAATCGCTTGAACCTGGAGGGCGGAGATTGCAGTGAGCAAAGATCGCGCCATTGCACTCCAGCCTAGCAACAAGAGCAAAACTCCATCTCAAAAAAAAAAAAAAAAAAAAGAATCAGCCATCAAGTGGGCTATCATCTGGGTTTAGCTGAAGGAGTTCTTAGTAATGGACTGATAGCTGAGACTCCCTGTCACCTTGTCTTTGTATCAGTTTTGTGATCTGGGTCAGGAATGCATCATCATCCATTTTCTATATCCAGCCATCCAGCCAGTAGTCAACTGTCATAAAGCTATTACCTCTGGTCCTCTCCTTTTATCTCACCCAAATGCTTGCAGGAATGCTTTCTTAAACCTCATGCTTGTAAATTTTCATGTGGGTGCCATTCGTCAAACAAATCTGTTGGATATATATCTGTCCATTACCGTATTTGGGTTTTGAGTTTCCTCATCTCCAAGTCTTAAGGTTACCTATAAAGCCACATTTCACAAAATATCCTATATAGACTGAGACAGTCCTCAAAAAACGGAATTCAGGGAGAGATACTCATACCGTATCTCTCACCTTAGAGATTCATGGTGTCCATTTGCATATTAAAGGTGCTGAGACCAGCCATGGTGGTTAATGGAGGTAAGAAGATCACTTGAGGCCAGGAGTTCAAGACCAGCCTGGGCAACATAGTGAGACCCCATCTCTACAAAAAATTTAAAATTTAGCCAGGTATTTGCCTATAGTCCCAGCTACTTGGGAGGCTGAGGCAGGAAGATCACTTGAGCCCAGGACTTGAAGGCTACAGTGAGCCATGATCATGCCACTGTACTCCAGGGCAACAGAGTGAGACCCTGTATCAAGAAAAATAAAAACAATGCTGAGAGTTCCAACAGTATGTTCATTAGTAGTTTTCAGACCTATTCAAGAACATTTTTTTTAAAATAACAAATGTTACTACTATTTGGCAGAATAATGTTCCATAGAGTACAGTCTGGGAAATACTGCTGTTAGATCCTATTTACTACCCTTGTTGTGATTCAAAAGTCACATTGTCTAATCATTTTATTAGAACAGGTAATACTTAGAGAACCTCTACCTTGTGTCTGATGTGTTAAGCTCTCTTCATACATCATCTCATTCATCCTAGCTATAGGTTTTGATTAGTAGTTATCCCCATATGCATGATGAGAAAAGATTAGAAAGGTTAATCAGAATGCCCAAGAACAGACCATGAGTAAAAGGCAGATCTGAGACTTGAACCCAGCTAGTTAGACTCGATAGCAGGAATTGGCACACTTTCTCTGTAAAGGGCCAGATAGTAAATGTGGGTCATACAGTCTCTATCACACCTACTCTACTATTAGAACATAAAAAGCAGCCATAGACAACATACAAATAAACGAGCATGGCTATGTTCCAATGAAATTTTCTTGTCAAAAACAGGCCGTGGGCCAGATTTATACTATGGTCTTTAATTAGCCAACCATTGCTCTAGAGTCATACCTGATACTTGTTGACATGTAAAATGTTGCAAGGTTTTGGATTTTCGTGTTTCTGACCCCGTTCTCAAGCATTTTCTTCTGGGAATCACTACTACTTCCTAGACTATTATTTTCCCCTCATTACATAGTAATCAGTTTCATTTCCTCCCTGGGCATTCCTCCTCCTCCATCCATATTTGATTTAAAGCCTTACTGACAAATCAGCTGATCTGCAGGCAAACATTTTACATTTTTCTGTTTTTGTGAGATGTACTTAATGAATACCCCTGGGCAAGAGCCCATGCATGGTTCCATTAACTCCAACCCTTATCTAGAAATGGAGATTGCATTTTCCACATCTCTCAGTGAACTGTTATTCTCTTGTAGCCCCCTCTTCATTTCCCCAGTTCCTTAGATCTCAGTGGGAAGAAAGCAACGAAAACCATTGCTCCAACTCTTAACATTCTGCCTAGAAGTGTATACCTTTAAAAGATGCTTCTCAAGGGCCGGGTGCCTGGCTCATGCCTGTAATCCTAGCACTTTGGGAGGCTGAGGTGGGAGAATCACGAGGTCCAGAGTTCGAGACCAGCCTGGCCAACATGGCAAAACCCCATCTCTACTAAAGATACAAAAAATAGCCGGGCACGGTGGCTCACACCTGTAATCCCAGCACTTTGGGAGGCTGAGGCAGGTGGATCACAAGGTCAGGAGTTCGAGACTAGCCTGGCCAACATGGTGAAACCCCATCTCTACTAAAAAAATACAAGAATTAGCTGGGCATGGTGGCAGGCACCTGTAATCCCAGCTACTTGGGAGGCTGAGGCAGAATTACTTGAACCCAGGAGGTGGAGGTTGCAGTGAGAAAAGATCATGCCACTGCACTCTAGCCTGGGCAACAGAGCATGACTCTGTCTCAAAAAAAAAAAAAAAAAAAAAGCGGGGCATGGTAGTACGTGCCTGTAATCCCAGCTACTCAGGAAGCTGAGGCAGGAGAATCGCTTGAACCTGGGAGGCAGAGGTTGCAGTGATGTACTCCAGCCTGGGCGACAGGGTGAAACTCCATCTCAAAAAAAAAAAAGATGCTTCTCTTCTGGCTCTAATTTTAGTCCTGCCTGGATCAGTTGCAATGGGCAGGGAACAGGGTTGATCTAAGGAGTTGAACGGGGTCCCATCTTGGACACAACCTCTGGGAAGATGGTTCACTTCCCACTTGGTCAGTGAGGTCGATCTGTGACTGCTTCCTTGCCCCCGACTTAATAGGGCTTCACCCTCTACCATCCTCTACCCTGCCTTCCAGGGCCAAAAACAGATTCCTACGTACCAGCCCCTCTGGAATGTCTACAGTTCATTTTCCAGAACGTGACATGTGGAACAAACCTGTTTCTCTCATGGCTCCAGTTGCAGAGCTTCTCTTATTTTCAGGTCTGTTTCTTTAATTCTCTTGTCCTCATGGAGTATGGTATATTCCCTTCCTAAGAAGGTTTAGAACTCCCCTTGAGGTAAAAAGCTTCCTACATTTCTGTACCTTACATTTGGGTAGGTTTTTCTCCCGTCTCTCCTGACTCAAGTCTTGATATTATCAGAATCCTATACCTTTTGGTTCCTTTTATTAGTTCTTCATCCCTCTCCAGGAGCTCTTTATTACCCAATAATTTACAACACAGGGAAGTGTTCTGTGACCCTTTAAACCCTTCTTGAGCATGATAAGCCATTGCACATATAATGTATCTAGTTTTGGCTTTGCTGAGTAACGAAAATAAAATATATCTGGTGATTGCTTTTAAGTGGGAAGACTGCAGGGCCCTGCAGCAGCCTCCTCAGCTTCCTCTCCTTTATGGAATCCTTTTAGTCCACTGGCTAAAATAGAAATAGAAATGCCTATTCCTGCTACCACCTTGACAGTCCCCATTTTAACCACTCTTTAGTACTTCACCAGCCCCTTGGCTGACCCAGTGCAGTAATAGTCCCGCCTTCAACTTCCACGTGCCAGCTCTAAGAACAACAGATTGTAAACCTCCCAACAATTAAAAAAGAAAAATATCTGAGGATTACAAAGCATCACATTTTTTCCCTATCTTCTAACATCTGTCACACAGATAATCCTATTCCAGACTTGGCCTTCATACCCTGTGTAATTACCTTCTAAGAAAATTGCCACTAGCTGGTGGGCGTGGTGGCTCAGGCCTGTAATCCCAGCACTTTGGGAGGCTGAGGTGGGCAGATCACGTGAGGCCAGGAGTTCGAAACCAGCCTGGCCAACATGGCGAAACCCCGTCTCTACTAAAAATACAAAAATTAGCTGAGTGTGGTGGCGTGTGCCTGTAGTCCCAGCTACTCGGGAAGCTGGGGCACAAGAATCGCTTAACTTGGGAGGCGGAGGTTACAGTGAGTCAACATCGCACCACTGCACACCAGCCTGGATGACAGCAAGACTCCATCTCAAAAAGAAAAAGAAAAAAAAAAGATTACCACTAGCATGCTAGCTCTACAGAAAAATCATCAGGAATAAGAGAATGTGTTTCTGTTTCTTTAGAATAAGAGTAAGAGCCTGAACTATACGGGAGAGAAAAAGGAGAAACCTGCCACCGTTGCCACCGCCATGGTAAGCTGCTGACACTGACCATTAAAATATGGTTGTTAGTGAACCCTGAAAACATTAAGCGAAAGAAGCCAGTGACAAAAAGACCACATGTTGTATGATTCTATTTTCATGAAATGCCCAGAATAAATAAATCTAAAAAGGCAAACTAGATTAGTAGTAGCTCGAGATGGGGAAACTGGGGTGACAGCTAAAAAGGGTATGGAATCTCTTTTGGGGGTGATGAAAATGTTTTAGAATTGACTGGTGATGGTTGCACAACTCTGAAAATACTGAAAAGTACATTGTGAGTGAATTGTATGGCATATAGCTCTATAAAGCTGTTACCAAAAAGTGTGTGTGTGTATGTGTGTGTATTATATACATGACTGCTTCTCAAATCAGGGATTTTATGATCAGATGGAGCATCTTATTTTTCCTCTGAACCAAAAACATTTTATTCAGGAAGCATCAGAAAACCTTGAGTTGAAATAGAAATAGTAAAATAACTTGTGATACTCAATTGGGAGAAATTATTTTTAGGTAAAGTTGGTGAATGCAAAAGGTGCTCCCTAAAAGATGTGTAAGAGTCAGCGGGGGTACAGGAAAGGAGGCACTTAGTACATTGCTGGCAAAGGTGAAAATTAGTACAGCCTCTCCAGAGGCTTAGCAATGACTACTGAATCTCAGAAGATAAACATACATTCTGATGTAACAGTTTCACTTTTAGGATATACAGGCCTGTGTACAGGATGGTCCTCACAACATTATTCATAAAAGTAAAATATTAGAAACAAAGATATCCATTAATAGAGGACTGGCTAAATAGGTTATAGTATATTTATGCTGGAGAGATATGAAGAAAATAAATATCTAAATGTTCGGCTCTCTGGATTTAGCTCCAAGATAATGTTAAAAAAAAAAATGTGGGCCGGGCGCAGTGGCTCAAGCCTGTAATCCCAGCACTTTGGGAGGCCAAGACGGGTGGATCACGAGGTCAGGAGATCGAGCCCATCCTGGCTAACACAGTGAAATCCCGTCTCTACTAAAAAACACAAAAAACTAGCCGGGCGAGGTGGTGGGCGCCTGTAGTCCCAGCTACTTGGGAGGCTGAGGCAGGAGAATGGCGTGAACCCAGGAGGCGGAGCTTGCAGTGAGCTGAGATCCGGCCACTGCACTCCAGCCTGGGCGACAGAGTGAGACTCCATCACAAAAAAAATAAAAATAAAAAAAAGTGTACAGTATCCTCATGGGTTAAAAAAATATATAAATATATATATACACACACAGACACACACAGATATACATATACACACACAAAAAAATGTATAAGGACCTACAAATTACAATTCAAGTTAGGGGGAAAGATATATAATCCCAGCAGTGAAAACTTGTATCCAAACCAGAACCAGGAAATAGAGCTAGGGTCAGAATAGGCTTAAGAATTTCAAGTTAGAAAAGCAACTAAATTTCTGCAAATGATCCTGCTCTCCTCAGCCAGTCTCTAGATAACAACAAATACTGGAATTTTAAATGGAGAGGATCAGTGCAATTATCTCTACTGGCATTTGGGTCCTTCCAGATTGAACTGTCAAAAATTTTAGATTACTGGTATATAAGTAAAACTGCATTTGATTGGAAAACAGACTTTTCCCCCAAAGCCATACACAGTTTTGTAAGTGACAGCTTCAGAGGAAAACTTCAAAAACTGTTCAACCTGAAATTTGTCTTATGTTCTTTGCCCTTAGGCCAGAGTTCTTCGGGAAACCAAGCCAATCCCTAACCTCATCTTTGCCATTGAACAGTATGAAAAATTTCTCATCCACCTTTCTAAGAGGTCCAAGGTAAACATTCTCTTATTATGTCCTTCCATTCCCATTTACCTTCTTGACAGATCTAGCAAACTAAAGCAGCACAACTACAATAGAGGAAAAAAGACTCTAGGCCATTTGTGTGTTTGCCATCCCCGCCCCACACCGCCCTTTTTTTTTTGAGATGGTGTCTCATTCTGTCACCCAGGCTGGAGTGCAGGTTCAAGTGATCTTTCGGCCTTAGCCTCCAGAGTAGCTGGGACTACAGACATATGCCACCACACCTACTAATTTTCCGGGTTTGTTTTTGTAGAGATGGGGTCTGTATTGCCCAGGCTGGTCTCAAACTCCTGGCCTGAAGTGATCCTCCCACCTCAGCCTCCCAAAGTGCTGGGATTACAGGCATGAGCCACCACACTCAGCCTTTTTGCTGTTCCTGATCTGATGGTCTGAACTCCAGCATACAGAAGGAAGTGTGGGTGTGTGCTTTCTTTAGGTAGAAACGGAAAGGTTTCTCAGAGGTGCACTAAAAATAGCTTAAGCTGTTCTGGCAGGACCTATGAGTAGGGAGATGTCCCATGCTTACAATCCTGTCACAGGTGAACCTGATGCAGCACATGAAGCTCAGCACCTCACGAGACTTCAAGATCAAAGGAAACATCCTAGACATGGTTCTTCGAGAGGATGGCGAAGACGAAAATGAAGAGGTCAGTGCTGGCTTCTTGCTGGAGCCCAGCGAATCCCAGCCACTCTTCCTAGCTGGTTAGCAGCCTATCTGGGAGCAGTCACAGATTAGTGGAAGGGCAACAGACTGGGAAAGGGCTAAAAGGTGATCTGGCAAAGATGAGAGTCAAGGACTCTCAGAAGGGCTGTAAACTTTGGACCAAGGAAGTTGCCCCAACTTGCATACATTTTTGGTAAACACTTCCAGGAAACAGGTGGTAACAAAACAGTGTCCTGCTGTGGGTCCTCTTCCTGTTACCCTTTAAAGTACTGGATGATGACCAGCTATAGCAGTCTGGCTCAGAAACTAGTTTACTTCTCAAGTCATGCCCTCATTCAAAGGCCACTCATTAGTTTGGGTTAAGGCTTCTTTCTTCAATTCATGCCAGTGTCTTATCCTTTTCCCTTGTGGTTTGTTCCTCTCTCTTTACTCTTACCAGTGACAGTGCCACATCCCCATCCCTGCATCATCTTTGAAACAGAACCAAATGTTTCCTTACTTCTAGCACCTAAAATTTTCACCTTAGGATCATCTGATATGTAGCAAATCAGTAGGCCACTCCCATTTCAAAATTGGAAGTTTACATACAAATGCCCTGGATTTCTGACTTCTCAAGAATTTTGAACATGCATTCTTCAGATGATCACACTCCAGGGTGTAATGTACCTGGCCCCATCCATTCCCTTTACCCACTTGGCAGCTGCACTCAGGAGAGTCATGTAGCATTTTGATGCCAATAGCTTCTTCTCTATCATTTTGTCCCATGAGTTTCCTCAGTATAGCAAAAGTCCTAAGAGAAGGAGGTGGCACTGCCTTACTCTACACTTTGGAGGACTCCCTCTTCTTCAACATAATTACCTCCTGTGAGTGGGAATGGGGGGAAAGCATGAGTAACACAGGCTTTGATGAGAAGATAGTTTTTTTTTTCTTCTTCTTTTTATTTCCACTGCTTTGGAGCAGGTTTATCACGTTAGAGCATTACTTCTTTTCCCTTCTAGGGCACTGCATCAGAGCATGGTGAACAGAACAAAGAACCAGCCAAGAAGAAAAGGAAAAAATAAATGAAATGCCTGAGTTAATGTGAACTTTGGGGCTTCTGCTTCGTTTTTACCCAACAAGCAACAATGCCCCTTGTCCTACAGCCCACACCGATGTTGGCATCTTAGTTCTGAACCCACTGAATTCAACTGCACCTTCAGTCAGAAGGAATCTTCTTGGCAGGTCCTGCTACTGAAAAATGGCTGGCCTTAGGCAAGCCCTTTTGCAAAAAGCACAGCTGAAAGCCTGAGTTTGGGAGCCTGCACCGCCCCGACGAAGCTCCATGGGAGCAAATACAGAGCCTCCAGGCAGTGCTATGGTCCAGGCTGGCTTCGTTTTTCCAAGGAGCCTTTGGTGAGTTCAATTATCTGGTAAATATCCAGCGCTTCACCTGAAAAATAGTGCAAATTGGTTAGGATGCCACCTCAATAACTGTAACTGAGAGCTCAGAAGTGAGCAAAGGAGCTTAATGCTAAAGTCAAAAAGGAGAGTGAAAGGTTGAGAACAATTGTCACGAATGGTAATGTTACATGTTAGGAGGGTCTGTTTTCTTTTTATATAAAATAAGTTTGTCTTAGATACATTTTAAATAGAAAATAAGCTTTCTGATTTGTTTGGTATTTAAAGCACAGTTTGTTTTTCTGTCATCTAAGAATGCACTCTATAGAATAAATCCTCTTTAAGCATTTCTGCTGTAGTTGGAAGTAGGGGACAGGTACAGGTAGAATATTTGAAGCTCTGCTGTCTTCATTTTTGAAACATCATGTCACATTCATTGTGGATACAGGGCACCTTCTAAACTGAAATTAGCCTAGAATATAGCATGAATCAAGAGGGTGATCTCTGGGGTCCCAAGCTTCCTGTTCTCCAAAACCCACTTGCTAGTCCACCTCAGATCCTATTTGTAACGAGGAACAAATGCGTTGTGCTCACCCTGGGGAATCCCGTATCTCCTTTCCATCCCAGTTGGGTTGGAAGGGGTTTTACAATCCATGGTCACTTCCTTCCTGAGGCACCGGTCAATATCAACTGCACTGAAAAAGGCGACTGACTGGGGCAAGTCATTCAGACCCAGCTTGTAGGCAAACATGCACCTGAAAGAGACCCAATCTCCCCTCACAGTCATGCCCCTCCTGTGAACACAGACACATCACTCCTGGAACAATGACCCCACACCCCTCAGAGCAGGGCTTCCCCTGGTCCAACACCCCATCTGTTCACCTAGCTAAGTCAAGAAAGGTGAAGGTCCAGCACTGTCTTCCATCCAGCAGCCTAACCTCCCACTGAGATACTGAAATGCAATTATGGACTCAACACACTGTTTTTTTCTTCCAGTTTGGTACATTTTATTAATATACGAAATCACTTCCAATTGGGCCAGAGTTTGAAGCATAAATGAGGACTTTTAGCTTTGTTAAGCATAACCCCCCGGAGATGATTAAGAGGGCAACGGAAACAATGTTGAATATTGTAAACATCTCTTATTTACCCAATAATCAGGATAGATCATGGTTCCCAAACTGGTTCTGAGTGGCAGATCAACATGGAACGGTAATATCATTTAATTCATCCATAAGAACTAGGAATTTTACTACAAGAAAATACAACTCAATATATAAAATATATAAGATATTTTAAAAAATCACATTTGAGTGTCCCCATTAACAATGTTTTCTGTTAGCAGTCAAGTAACAAACTTTTGGCACTTAAGAAAGAAAACATTTATGGGAGAAAGAAAAACATCTCAATTTTCTATGAAATGAGAAAAGGCTTCTGTCATTTGATTTTCAAAATAGAAAAGTGTGAGTACCACCCTTTGGAATAATTCCCCTAACCTCACAGCTTCCTCAATGATCAGTCTTGGTATTTGACATTTTCAAACCCAAGAACTCTTTTTTTAAAAATTCAGGCTAGTCTTTTTAGGACTTCTATAACTTTTTAAAAATTAGAAATAAGAAGGTGAAACATTCACTTCTAGGGGGATGAAAACTCAAAACTGCCCAGTCTGGCCCAAGAAGCGCTCACCCAAAACCCCACATAGGAGCACATGGCCAGGCTAGAGGCCATGGGCCCCGCATACCTGGTCAAGAGGTTGGTGATCTGCAGGGCCAGGGCAGCACGGTAGCGGTCCTCCTCCCGCACCAGGTAGCGAACTTCGTCATGGATGCTGATGCAGAAGCGCCCATCTATGGCAAACTCTTCAAACAGCCACTTCATGGCCACAAGCATGAGGTGTAAGTAGTCAACAGCAGAGCTCTGTACCACCCAATTCACACGGCTGGTCATAAACTGGGGAGGGAAGGTGGGCACAGGTGAGAGGGGCTATGCTACATACCAATTAACTCTAGGGTAGAAGCCCCAAGAGAAGCTTCACTCTGGCCCTACCTACGAACATCGGTAAGGTCCACAGGGAGCCTGTGCCCTGCCCTGCCCTCCCCGGGGGCCCCTCTACCTATGCTCCAAAGGTAGCAAGATACCTCTCCCTGCACAGCCGAGGGCTCCAGGGCTCGGCTGATGCGGCAGCCCAGCACCGGGGTACGTGGTATGTCAGACGTAGCAATGCTCTCAAGCTTATTGAACATTTCTGACTCTGTGCCCCCCTTCCATGCCCGTTCAGCAATCACCTCCCACTTCTTCCAGTGTGACCTAAGGGACCAGAAACAGAGGGCAGACTCTGTCTGTCAGCATCTCAAAGCTGAAAAACAAAGCATCCAAGCTCCTCTGGGGCAAGCCCAGACCCCTCCCTCCATCCTTAACACAAAGAAGGTTCTTACTTCCTTGCAGTTTCTCTCTGGACCTTGCGCAGATCCTGCAGGGAAATCCAGCCACCCTCAGTCCTGTCCACTGGGAGGTGCAACTCCCTCACCAGCCACTCGCCCTCATCCGACAGCCGATACCTGGGGGCAGCGTTGTTATCACCATCATTCCACAGGAGTGCTTCCTGTGTCACACCTAGTGCCTTGGCGTGGAATGTTCACATCACTTCAACTTTCAAAAACACTGGCATCATGCCAGTCCCCCTAAAGGCTTTTATTCAGAGGAAGAAACAGGCTCTGAGAGGCTAAGTGCCTTGCCTAGGATCACGGAGCTAGAAAGAGATGCAGCCCAGGCTTTTGTAGCTCCAAAGCCTGGGACACCCCATGGTAGCCCAATAAAGGACAAAGACTCCAGCACACAAGCAACCACTATTCCTACTGTCCTGTTTCTTTAGATACTGAATTGCCCAATGACCAACACGGGCCTTATATTCAGGAGGCAGCAAGGACCATCACTCTAGATTTGGGGGGATGGGGTAAGAATAGGCTACCCTGAAGGGGAGGGGGCATTTGTTGAAGCAGAAAACACAATAGCCAGGCCTGGCTTACCCTTCTCAACTGCCACAACCCTAGACAACTCAGCTTCCATCTAACCTGCAGATTTCACAAGGCTTGTTGCCTGAAGGCTCCAGAGACCCATCACTCACTTGTATAAACGGCTTCCCTACCACCTGCGCCCGCAGTCCAAACTCCTGTGACACTTTCGAAGGTGTCCACAACTAAAGCCCCACCACCTTTCTTGCCTCTACCAGCACACGCTGCTCACGGTATGAGCCTTACCCAACCTCACTTTATCCACTGGATGATACTCAGCTCCCCTTTCCTGCATTTACAGTCATCAACCACTATATCATTTATCACATACTTAACTTTTAGTTGTTCATAAGAAAGTTTCCACAATGAGCCAGCTAATTAAATGTGGACAATGTATTGTACCTCAGGAAGTTGTACCTCTCTTCCCTCACACTTTTGGAACCCTCCAGAGTCTGCTAAGGCCCTGAGCACACAGTATGCAGTACTATGAAAGGAAACAAATTGGAGAGCTAGGGTAAGTAACCTGGAGGCCTGGTAATGCTTTCTCCTGTATCAACATCAGCCTACATGCTCCAGTTTGCCACAGCGCCCTCCTGTCAACTCCTGTCTTCCACCCACTCCATTTGCTTTCATTCCCTGTAGGCATCTGAGTTTGCAACCCCTGTATTATTGATTATGCGGCATAATCAGAATTGTCAAGAGGCTACCACTTGGTGACAGTAAACCAAAAGTATAGCTTTACTCCCATGAGGAAAAACTGTTTAAGGCTGACTATAAAGCAAGCAAATATCACAACAGGACAAATCATCCTGGAACTAGGTTACACAGTTGTAGAAGGAGAGCGGCTAGGTGAGGGTTCAAGTAATGGGCACGAGATAGAACAGATGGGAGTACTAAAGGACAGTAAAGCAGGCCTCAGGTCCTGGGTGTTAAAGTGGATGGGAGAGGGACCCTCACCAGCGGAGGCCCTTGGTGACGGCGTACATCTGCTGGGCCTTCTCAGCTGCCTCCTGCTGCGTGAGCCGGTGGTTAAACTGCATTAGTAAGCGCTCAGCAAAGGGCTGCCCAGCCCCATAGATGCGGCCGTAGTTGAAGACTTTGGCATGCTCACGGCTGATGCCCACGGTAGTGGCTGTCTTACTGTGTAGATCAGTGCCCCTGCTCTTCCTGCCCTGCAGTGTCATCCATCCAAAGGCTGTGCAGCCTGGAAGATAAGCAGGAGTGAGAAAAGAAACTCAGGAACATTCTGCCCAATGTTCATCAGAACTGTCAATATGCTACCTGAGGGGCTGGGCTGCCCCAACCCCGGCTCCTGCTCACCATGCATGCCGGCAAAGTGGGCGTCTCCAAGCACAGCTGCAATCCACAGCTCTTGAGAGTCCACATCAGCACCCACAAAGGTGTAGCCAGGTGGGGCCTGCACCATGGCTTTCAACTCACTGCCTACTCGGTCAGGCTGTGGGAAGAGTGAGATACCCAAATGAGACTCCTCCTACCCTATTCCTGGAGCCAGAGTTGACTGAGAGCCTTTCCTAAGGGAATGGCTTTAGAGAATGCCAGACAGCACTGGTGAAACTCCACAGTTCTATAGACAGCCACCTATCAGCAATTGGGATGACAGGTAAAGAATCTACTCTATGCCTAGCGCTATGCCAGACCCCTCACCTACATGGTCCCATCTAAATTCCATGAGAGCTGTAGCTATTACGCCTGTCACTGGCCAGGAGCAGGTGCCCAAAACACATTTACTGAAGGAGTGGACAGGAATCATGAAGCCAGATTTTCCTGTCTTCCATCCACTCCAAGATCTGGGTCAGGCAGTGAACTAGAGTCCTGCCTGACCCAGATCACAGGATCCTTTTCATGCTCCTCACTAAATACCTAAAGGCCCTCAGAGCTGAGTTTCTACAGACTTGGGAGAGGAAGAGCAGGGGCCAGAGGTGCAGACGACACATACCCGGGCATTGCTGGCAGTGAGCCACGTGGGCTCCACAGCCCGGCGAGTGATGGTGCCGGCAGTCACCACTTGGGGCAGGATGGCCCCATAGAGGCCTTCCTCATCATAGTCGGGGTGCCTGGTGGGGTGCAGGGGAAGGAAATGGGTCTTAGTTGCTTTGGCCCTAGGACCTACCACCTCACCTCAGTTCTTCTATCCCTACAACCACTCAGCAGACCATACCTGATCACAGCACGGGGCAGAGCTGACCTGGGCAGCCACACCACCATCTGGGAGCTGTGGGGACAAAGTGAGGCTCAGCACAGCCATGGGAAGCAGAATCTATCCCGCATCCCACCATGGCCCTCACCTGCCCACCTCCTGGACTGCTATACTCCTACCCAGCCTCACTAACTGGACTCAACGTGAGCCCTGGCTCAGCCAAGGCCTGGGGCGCTGTGATACACCAGTCAAGAGCATAAGCCATCTCGGAACCGGCCAGGCCTCTGAGCGAGCTCCTCCTCCTCTCTGGGGGGCATCCATGAGGCACTCCTTCCACCACTACCTCTTCCTACACACAGGCAGACTTCATCATCCCAAAACCCACTCTGCTCACCAGAGAGTGCTGGTGGCCACAATCACCTTGGAAATGGCCTTCAAGATGAATACATTTGCCATTCCAGACTACAAGACCCAGCTCCCAGCCCCCAACAGGGCTTACAGGCCACCAGCTCTCCATGGTCCTCAGCCATATCCCATGGCTCCGGCAGTTACACCAAGAGGTTCTGTTGGGAGCTACGAAGGGCTCTCATGGTCCTACAGCACCATTCTTTCTACGTTAACAGGGAAACTGAAGCTAGAGGGGAGACTTGCCCAAGGTCCATGGCACCAGGACCAAAAGTAGCTAGGCCTCTGGACCACAGCTAGGCTGGCCCTCTGGGAATCCAAGGTTAGTCAGAGGTCCCTGGGTGGGAAGAGGGGGGAAAGGCGTCCCAGGACTCCTCCCACGGTGGCCCACCTGATACGTTTATGGGCGTTCCTCCAGAAAGAAATCATTTTGTTGATTTCCAGAGCACGGGGCCCACTGGCACCTCCTGGGCCAGCCTGCAGGGTGCCATCCTCCATCTTGGGCAGGAAGTCCTTGGCAAAGGGGCTTCCCACATTACAGCTATTACCATCCTGGACAGAGCAAAGGAAGCAGGGGCTGGAGGCAGGTGGCAGACCCCTGGGTGGGGAACCAATGTGAGCACCTGCACTTCTCCCAACACTGAGCTCAGAACCTCAGCAGTCTGAGGCAAATCCCTGATTGCATCACACATGCACACACGTGCACACACACACACAAACGTGCGCGCACACACATGCACACACACACGCCCCCTAGGACACACAGACACAAGCAAACCTGGCTCCCCACATAGTGACAAATCGGCAGAATCTATCACGTACCAGATGTACCCCCTGCCACCCAACTTTCATTAGAAAAACAAAAGCTGAGACATGACAGTATGTGCCTGAAACCACACTCTGTCCCACTACTAGTCATTCGCACAAAAAGGACAGTCTCAGGTGTGTCACTCTGAAGGCCTGCTGTGGGCCTTGAGCAGAGTGAGGACACACCACAGGACAGGCCATGACCCAGGACACACCTTGTGAGGCAGCTTGAAAAACCAGCAGCCAGGGATGTCCACATCGTTGTAAGGTCCGTTGCCATGGTGATAGTTGGGCTGGCTGTCCTTGGGGCCGCCAGGGGCAGTCTGTGGGGGCCACACACCTAGATCAGGCCCTGCTCCAGCACCTGCATTCAGCAAGGGCCAGGGGGTAGGGAGTGGGAAAAGGGCCTGAAACTGTCGTCATCAGCTGGGAAATGACAAGATGGCCATGAGGTCTCACTCAGGCTTTCTCCTTGTCCTCCAACATGTGTGGGGCCTCCCAGGGACAGGGTGGCATCTCCAACCCCCCTAAGACCTAGGGAACTCTGGCTGGGAAGAACTACATGGGCAAGAGGAAGCCCTTTCCACCCAGCACCCACCCAGAGAACCCCTGAGCAGGCACACTGCTCACCAGAGCTAGCGGTTGACCTGGCACTGCAGCTCGCAAGTTCTCCATCTTGGCCTCAGCCTCCACTTCTAAGTAATCCAGTTCTTCTACCTGGAGTGGTCCAAGGACCAAGAGAGTGAAGCAGGGGACTGGGTAGGTCCCAATCCACCAGCCCCTCCCTGCATGGTACTCAGACACCGCAGGTCAGTCTGGGGTGAGCCACCAGTGCCAGCCTCCCACCCAAAAAGGCTGCTCCTTCCCTGGGTGGAATACAGAGACCTCCCCTCCCCAAAGCTCAGGTTCAGAGCCTGCCCTCACCGTTTGCCATATGGCACTATTGTCAGTGAGCAGGAACTCCTCAGCCAGGCCGGCCTCCTGAGGCGTTAGCTGCTGCTTCCCCTGTTCGAGACAGTGCTTCCTGTACAGGGACTCGATGGCTCTGGGCAGAGAACAGCAGCAGCAGCCTCTGATTACCATATGCCCACTGTGGGCCAGGCAGCTTGCTGGTGCCTTCCACAATTCTCTGTTTAGTCCTCAGAATCAGCTCTGAGGCAGAACCAGACGGCATTTTCCCCAGGTTTTAGACAGGGATTGACAAACTAAAAATGACAGCACCCTGGCAGCAGGCTGGGGTTCGAGGCCTTGTCTCACTCAAATCCAAGTTCCTCTTACACTACAGAACTGCCGCCTCGAGAAGTTCTGAGCGCACAGCAAGAGGATAGGACCCAGGGCCCAGCTGCAGGCTGGCTCCTGCCAGCTCACCTACCATTGGGCTCAAAGGAACAAGGCCAGTCTTACCCCTTTTGTCCCAAGGCCCTGCAAGAGACTCAGGCTGCCCTGAAAAGCCAGGACTCTTAATTCTGGGCCACTGTAAGTTTCTCCCCAACACCTGCTTGTCTAAAGCTCAGGTTCTGTGATCTTAAACAAGTCAACCGAGCCTTTGTCAACTACAACATGGGGATAATCATTCTAGCTCATGGGGCTCCTTGGGGAACAAATGAGGGAAGCACTGCTTGGCCCATAATTATCACTCGAATTATATATACATTTTTTAAAAAGCCCATCTCCCTGCTACTTGTAACAGCCCTCTGCATGTTCCTGTGAAGGCAGCTGTGCTGCCAGGCCCAAGAAGAAGGCCTTTAGTCCTCCCCACTCTGAACATCTCAACGTACTCCCTCCCAGGGCCTCTGAGATCCAGAGGGTAAGGGTAGCCATGGAAAAAAAAACATGAACCCAGACGCCTTTTTGTGTGTGTGTTTTTTAAAATTTTTTCCTTTTTTGTTTTCCCTTCTTCTGAACCCAGACTCTTGAACCCAAACTCTTTCCACTAGCCTGAGCTGACCAGCCAGGGGAAGGGGTTCCTAGGCTCCAGCCCCTTCCTCCCCTGGGCCTGAGCCTTACCTGTAGGGGCAGACCACCCCAGCTGATTCCAGGGTGGTACCTGTCGGGAGCTTGGCCAGGTTGTCCCGCCGCCCAGGCACCAGGTAGCCCCAGCCATGACGCTCTGAGTAGTGCAGAGGGAAGCCATCCCAGGTCAGTGCCATGAGTTTAGGTGTGACCCGCATCTGCAGGCTGAGAAGGCTGGGGCCTGGGGTCCATGCGGGGTCGTCTAGCCGGGGACAGAGCTTCCGGTACCATCTACGTCCCACCAGGAAGACAGCAGTGTCACAATGGTAAGGGCAGTTGTTGGGGGGAAGGTTCTCTCTCCCATAATGTGCCCCACCCACCCTCCAAAGCCCTGGGGCTTTCTGGTGACCCCGGCCTACAGCCACCAACCCCTCCTCTGGGATGCTTTAGCCAGGACCCCCATGGAATCCTCTAGAAGAATATTTCAAAAGCAAAGACACTAAGTCAGTCCCACTGCACTAGTCAGAAGCCAGGACACAAAAGCATACCCTGGCCCAGGGCAGGGCTCCTTCCCAAGCTCCATTTCATTCAGTGTAACTGACCAGAGGAGGGAGCTCATCTGCCCTCCCCACTCCTCTAGAGAAACACCAGTCCTTCTGGGTGCTCTCTTGCAGGCTGTTCACCAGAGTTGAGCCCAGGGTGAAGCTAGGCAGGCACTCAGGACACTTGCTCTCAGGGTCATGCAAGTGCAAAGTTGGCACCCTGCTGCTCACCCTGGATGCCCTTTTTCTCATCTCTGCCACCCTATGAGGCTCAAAGGAAAGGGCACCTTCTCAAGAAAGGCTTCTTGATTTATTTCCCCAGGCAGAGTCAGAACTACCTATGGACACTAGCTGCACTAGCTGGTCTACATGCCTGGCTTCTCCTAGAAAAAAGGAACTACTGGAAAGGAGGAGCTATGCTCCAGTCTGTACACCCAGTGGCTGCCACGGGCCAGTGCACAGCAGGTGCTCAGAACAGTGCTGAATGAGTCCAGTAAGCCAGTCCAGAGTGAGCAAATGAGAACAGGACTGGAAGACAGTGTGAATGAATGGCAGCAGGTCAATAAGTACACATGTGCATGATGCCTCTGTGCCAGAACCCAGACCAGGTCTGTCCTGAGAATGGCGCAAAGGTGGACTCTAGATACACTGCTGGGGGTGGGCTGGGCTCACCCAGGGTGTCCAGGAAGGTGCTGGGGCCGCTTGGGCAGGAGCTCTGTGGTCCCCTTCAGCTTCTGCAAGCAGGCACGGGCCATGACATCTTGTTGAAACTCCTCCTCCTCACTGCGGGGGCCGAGGTCTGTGAGGGTGGGGGAAGACAATCAGGAGCAGGAGAAGGAACTCTCAGTAAGACCTGCTCCCACCCGCTCATCTCCAGAAGGCTGGAGCAACCCTTTCCAAGGACCCCTTCAATCACAGGACCTTCCCAGGAACAACCCCTACCCTACCTCTACCTCCTGCCCATGCTCCCCACCTTCCTGATCCATGGGATCACCAGGGGCCCCAGCCCCCTCGATGGGCAACTTGCTGGCTGTGGCTGGCTCCTTCTTCACCTTCTTAGCTTTCTTCTGCTTAAATTCTTGCAGGTCCCACTCCAGGTCCCAGAGCCAGGGGTCTTCTTTGTACCTACAGAGTCAGTCCACTAGGGCAGGGCTAAGGCTAAGCCGAAGGCTAGGCCACCCACTTGCCAGACCCCTGCCTAGATCCTGCCCACCCAAGGCCTGGCTACCTCTCTCCTGAGAGCAGCTGGCAGGTGTCGTTGGCCAGGTCCATCAACGACTTCTTCATCTCCCGCTGGAGCTCCTCGTAAGTGCCCTGTGCCTCTGCCAGGTAACGCTCCCAGTTCTGGTTGACAGGCAGGTAGGAGACACCCATCTCCAGCATGCCAGCCAGAGTCACTGGGTGGGGACACCTTGGAGGCAAACACCAGGAGCTGCCATAAATGACCACAGGAGGCAAGACTTTGGCCCAATCCCTGAGCTGGTTTAGCAAGCCTCAACCGAGCCACCGACATGGCACAGCTCAAAAGTCAAATAGACAAGGCATTAAATCCCAGCTCACTGTTACTCATCCCTGGGTAAGTAACCCCATCACCTGGAGTCTCAGTTCTTTCATCTATAAAATGGGAACAATATCATCCCATCCTCAGGGGTAGTGTGGGAAATATAGGTGGCAAAAGTGAAAATGGCTGCCACACATGGAGTAATGACTGTGTGCCAGGCACTGTGCTAATAATCCCATACATGAAAAACATCATGCCTGAACCTCACAACTTGGGTGGTAAAATACAGTTGACCTTTAAACAACACAGGTCTGGATCGCGCAAGTTCACTTACACACTTATTTTCTTCTGCCTTAGCCACCCGAGACAGCAAGCCCCACCCCCCTCCTCCTCAGCCTACTCAACGTGAAGGACAGAGATCTTTATGATGATCCACTTCCACCTAATGAATGGTAAACACATTTTCTCCTCATGATTTTAATACATTTTCTTTTCTCTCGCTTACTTTAAGAATATAGCATATAATACATATAACATACAAAATATGTATTATGTTATCAGTAAAGCTTCTAGCCAACAGTAAGCTATTACTAGTTAAGCTTTGGGTCAAAAGTTCTAGCCAAACTTTCTTCCCGTCTTTCTTCTTTCAGTATCTTTGGTACAAATATACCTGAATTTTCAGCTACACAAGGGTCACTTCATAAGACGGACTCATTAATAAACACAAGCATGATGTACATGAAGCCCTTGGTTAAGGATCTAGTTCAGAGAAGGTGCATAGTAAACCAGCACCATGCACATGAAACACAAGCACAACTCCATGGCCCTCCCCTCCAGGGCCTCTGTAGAAATCCAGAGTCCAGGGCCCAGATGGACACCACTGGACAGAAGGGCTCCATTCTTTCAGCCTGGAAAAGCTAAGGTCCCCAACCTGAGATAGAACCAGCGCCACCTGATTACAGCAGGCCCGGGTACCAGGAACCCACTGACCCCCAAAGATTCCCACATGGGCTCCCCCTTACCTCTCCAAGAAGAGCGGTAGCTGCTGCTGGAAAACCTCATGGGTGGCCCACACGTCCTGGGCACAGTACTGCATCAGGTCCTGGCACAAGACGACAGGAAGGCGCAAGGTGGGCAGCCATCCCATTACCACCACCAGGTCTCAGGGTCAGGCCTGGCAGTTTTATCTCCCCAAGCACAGCTAGGGGTGTGTCACAGTCCATCTCCCGAGAGCCCCCTCTAGCACCATACCTGGAAGTTCTCACGAATGTCCTTCATGGTACCCTTCACGAACAGTTCTCGAGGCTCCTTCTCTAAGGGAGGCCCCCCTACATAAAGTCTGTGCACCTCTGCCAGACTGTTGACACTGCTGATGTCCAGCCAGTCCCAGGATGAGATCTGGGGAACCAGAGCAAGGGACACGGCAGATCAGCTTGGCCTCGGGTCAGACGGGCTGGTGAGGGGGGTCCCAAGCACTATGCTACTATGCTCCTGCCCACTGGCAGTGTGCTCTCACCGCTGGGCCTCTTCTGGCTTTCCTCTGGGACTTCTGGACTTGCTTTGTGGGTCCCTGGACCTTGTGCTTGCCCTGCTTGGCTGCTATCCACAGACTGCGCTGGAAGCTACTTAGCCCTGAGATGGCCATGTGCATGCTCATGGTGTCCAGGAAACGCATGCGGGAACCCTGAGGAGGAGGAGGAGGAAAGGGAAGGAGGGAGGCTGCAACTGTGGGGCCAGCCCACCACTGCTTAGTGGTGTGGACCTCCAGCCCCACCTCAGCTCCTCAAACAGCCTCCCCTCCCAGCACACAGCCTCCAGCACAAAATACAGAATCCTCATGTTTGTTCACGCTTGCCCCATCACCTTTAAGGGGTCTGCCTTCCCAAATCCTAGCCACCCTTTAAGATGCAGGCCTGGCTCAAACCCAACGTGCAAGTCCTTCCCAGCTTCCAGTAGTAGCTCTGAGCAACGTAGATACAGAGTGGCCAAAACAAAGCCTTCAGGGCTATCTAGTCTGGCCCCAACCCTGCCACTCATAAGCTCTGTGGCCCTGGGCATGTCAACAAGGCTGTCTGAGCCTCAGCACCCTCAGCTATAGGCTAAGGTTGCTCTCCCCCGCCTGGCTTGTCTCCTAGGGCTGCTGTGAAGATACAATGAAAAAACACTTCATAAAATTAAGAATTGCCACTACTATACACCAGGCAGAGTACTGAGTGTTTGACATGCAGGCATTGTTCCAACCCTCCTATTAATCCTATGAGATTTATGTTATCTCTGCCTTTTTATAAAAAAAAGGAAACTAAGACTTAGAGATGTTAAGGACCTCATAATAGTCATCAGTGGTTAAGGCAGGAAATGAGCCCAGGCTGTGGCTCAAAACCTTTAAGATCCATGCTAAGCTCTAAAATGCCACAGAGATAAAAGCTGTTATTACTTTGTGACAACTTAGGTCCTGTAACAGGCTTTCCCGGGGACATAAACAGCTACGCACAGGGACCAGAGGCACAGCTGGTCAACAGATGGGCCTTGTGGCTTCAGCAAAGGCAATAGAGACACTTGCCAAGCAAGCAGTGCCTTCCCTAACCACTGAGATTCGGGCTCCTGGCCCATCCCATGCCAGAACCTGTAGCTGGCCCCAGGAACCTTACCTGGATCAGGTACTGCTCCCTGATATGAGCTCGGTCAAAGGAAACATTGTGCCCCACCACTAACTGCTCCTTCCAATCTCTCTGGGTGGGGCTGGCACCAGCAGGGACCTCCAGGGGGATGAGGTCAGCCGGCGACAGCTGGCTGGTCCAAGAGTAACGCTCTTCCACCAGCCGCCGGCTGCACCAGGAATACCTGAGGGAGGCGAGAGGCAGGCAGGTTCACCATGGAGACATTAAACTTCCACTCCACAACACCCACTGCACACCTACCACTACATGCCAGATGGCGTACTGGCAGCTGGGGACACAAGTGAGACCAAAGGGTACTCCTAACTCAGCTACAGGTCAGGTGTAGCAGGGTGGGTGTGTGTGCTGGTGGGCAAGAGCTACAAAAGCTTCTTTAAACTTCTGCACATAAAAATGGAACTACTGGGCTATTAGACCTACACGCAGGTATTATATTACAGCCTGGGCCATCAAGGTGTTTGCTAGACCTAGTGTTCACTAAGTCTACATCTAGCTCTGAGGTTTTATGAACATTATCAACCCCTTGTGTCTATAGGCACAAACCAGCTACTGTTCAAAGTGCTAGTAAAGGAGATAGACAGTAACAGAACCAAAAGTGGAGTTTTTTTTAATTGAACTGGTAAAAAAAAAAAAAAAAAAGACAAATACTGCACACATGTACAGGATGAATCATCTCATGGCTGAAAAGATTCTGGGGGACAAAGAACAAATCACACACCTTGGAGAATCTCACCCTCAGTGAGAGACCAGGGAAAGTGCCAGAATGAGAAAATGTATGCGCATGTGATAAGGTGGGGGTGGGAGGATAAGGGATGAGTGCGGCCTGTTGGGGGCCTGACACTAATTCAGTAAAAGGCTGCAGTTTGCTCAAGATCCACAAGGCTAGGTGTAGGGGAATGGCCACTGAGGAAATGCCTGCTGCAAGCCACAGATTGTTCTCAACAGTCAAGGCCCACTCAGCATCAAAGTGAGTGACGAGGCCATGTGTGGACAACACTGCAGAGAAGGAGCTCCTTGCAACCTTTATGGAATGGAAGAGGGAGTATCTGCCTCAACAGATTCAACACATATAAAACTAATTTATTTCAAAGAGAAAGCAAGAGGGTCCTAGTTTTAAACCTGACAAAATCTAACTCATACTCCAAATGGTGAAAATAAGCCATGGGACTGAAAGAAATCTCCCCCACCTTTTAATTCAGCATGTCAAAGCCCTTACAACAACACAGACAAAAAGGCTAAAGAATGCCAAATAGTTGAGGCCATGGTGATAACAGGGACTTTGGTTACAATAAAAAGCCACATTGGTGTCAAGATGCAGCTCTGCAGCTGTGCATGAAGCCATCTCATTATACACTAGTGATTAAAAAGAAGAAAGCCAAATTTAAGATGAGTAGGGATCCATGCCATTAATACTAGTTTTACTGTGAATCTCAGATAAATGTTGATAGCCGGAGTGATGTCCCTCTAGCCTGATGGCCAAAGCCCTTACCAACAGCCTTTGGGAAGAAGCTGCCCTGTGGGAGGCTCATAGCTGACGAAGGCTTCTCCTCCCATTGTAAACTGTGGGATGGTCAGGTACCTAATGTTACTCAGTTAAGGGGCAGGGGCATGCCCAGGTTCAAAGTGGACCGCTATTAGGGCACCATGTGGCACCCACCTCCACCCACCAGTCAGACTCCCAGGAGGAAGGTCCCAGCATGAGCCCAGGCCTTAACAATGACTTCTGCCATCAGGCCAATGCGCCCTGAGTACCACTGGCAAGAATGGAATGAGAATGAGGGCAGAGCGGGAAGGACAGGGAGGGAAAGGAGAGGTAAAGGGAGAGAAAAGAGGAGGAAGAGAAAAGGGGACTTGAGGTAACTTGGCCAAAAATGACCAACAGATCAAAAAACAAATCTTTCTTGTCACTGATTTCCTAATTTTCTTTCAGCCACCAAAGCCTACTTTATCTTTCCAAATGATGGCCGGTATTCCCCTTTACTTTGACCATCGAGTTACATATTCTAAGTAGTGTGATTCTCATTGTAACTGGAATTCAATCAATGCAGAATCATCTAGTTTTGCTCTTTTCAGCCATTAATGCCTACCTTATCTATATAGCCATGTTTTCACCATTTTCAACTGCATATTTAACATTTCGCAGCTTTCTTTACAAAGATGTAGCTTCCAATAGGAATAAAGAAACTGCCAACTTTTTTGCTGGCCATGCCTGAAAGCATTAAGGTTGTAAATAGTATTTTAATCCTGGAATGAAGAATAAAAAAAGGGGAGAAACAGTACTGCCATCATTGTTTGAAAAAGAAACTTGGGTAGCACTTAGAAAGTTATTTTAAAAGAAAAGAGAGATTGGATATACTTGTTTGGGGCCAAAATGCCTGCTTGGAAGGCTGGGGGTAGGAAGCAATGTTTCTCAACTAGGGGTGGTAAACCAGATGCCGCCTCAAGGGGGCATGTGGAAATGTTGGTGGCTGGGACAGTGGGGAGGGGGGTGTTGGTCTGGCGTTTATGGGAAAGGCCAGGGATGCTAATGTCCTATATTGCCTGGGAGAGTCCCACAAAAGGGAGCTTTCTACTGCCCAAAATAATTAATAGCTCCCCAAAAAGAAACACTATTCAAATGACTTTTCAGACTAACTTCTCATGACGCTATTAGGGGAGGGGGTAAAGGCACCAAATCATGGTGATCTTAAGTGGCCTCCCACAGGTCTCATGTACAGCGCTCTACTGTGATTCTCCGCATGGCCTTTACTGCCTGACATTTACTTGGGTATTTGCTTACTGCCTGTGATCTTCCCACCAGAAAGTGAGTCCCACATAAACAGGGGTCTAGTCCTAATTCACCACATCAGTGCTCCCTACGTGAGCACCCAGCACATAACAGGACCTCAGTAAATGTTCACTGAAACAAACTATTAAGCTGGGCCCCCATGCCTACTTATGTCCCCAACCCTGCCCCTACTTACCAGGCCGAGGGGGATATGGCCACCGCCAATGTGGGGCAAGTTCCCTCTGCCAAGCAGACCTCCACGTCGAACACCAGGGCCCGCTCCTCGGGGATGGCCACGGGTACGGCCTCCCCCTCGGGGCCGTACCGGGTCCAGCCCTCCGCCCAGGCCCAACCCGTGGGCTGCGGGGGCAGCTGGGCCTGCAACAGCGAGTTGGCCGCCTCCAGGTAGGGCAGGCTCTGCTTCTGGGCCAGGAGGCGGAAGTGCTGGTCCAGGTTGTCCCCGTAGAGGGGCGGCAGGCGCAGCTCCACGTCGGGCAAGGGCGCTGCTGGCTGCCCCCAGAGCCCGTGCTTCTGCAGGTGTTCGACGCTGCGGCGCACCGCGGCCTCGCCGGGTATCTCCCCTCCTTGCCCGAAGATTTGCTCGTGCAGCCCTTTCGAGAGCATCTGGATGTGCAACGGGTTGTGCCGCAGCTGCCCGCCCTCCGAGGATGGCACTTGCGGCTGCTGCAGCTGCTGCTGCTGCCGCCGCCGCCCGTCGCTGGGGTCGGACGCGGGGACGGAGCTGGAGACCCAGCGCCCCGGAGCTGGAACCGGCCCTGGCACGACGGTGGCGCCGGCCAACTTCCTCCAGAGCAGGCGGCTCATGGTTGGTGCAGGGACCCCCACGCTGGGAGTCAGAACACCTAGCTTTGGACTCCAGCTTGGCTGCTTTTATTGGCTGGAAGACGTGGAGAGAGACACGTCCTGTCTCTGCTCTCCTGTCAGTGAAATGGGTTTGACCATGCCTGCCTTCCACCCCAAATCCTAAAGGAGACAGATGATATAAAACGTTATTTTACCATATATGTAAAAGCTGTATTCATAGTCACCATTCCTTGAGCATTTACTGCGTCCCCAGCACTGTGCCAGGCGCCTCAGTTGCATTTTCTGTTAAGCCTCAAAACTTGGGAAACGTCAATACCCCTCCTGGGGGAACCGGGGTCCACGCAGCTTCATCAGTGGACCCACGTGGGGAAGCCGAAGGCAGCGAGTAAGAGAGCAGTATCTGGAGTAGAGCGACGCGGCTTTGAACCCCGCTTCTGGCTCTCTCGAGCTGTGAGACCTTGGGCAACGCTCCTTAGGCCCTGATATCCTATTCTGTAAAATGGGGTTACGGATTCTGCCTGTCACACAGGGCCGCTGTCCGGAGCACACAGGGCGCCTACGTCTTGCGGCCCTGCTCCTAGCAAGCGCTCGGCAAATGGTGGCTGCCATTACCGCGACCGGCGCGGCCCGAGAGCCTAGCGTCGAGAAGTGCCAGAACCCGGATTCGAACCCGTAGGGTGGGCCGCCGTCCCGTGGGACCTCCACCCACACCCTGACCATGGCCCAGCCGGCCGAGGGCGTCCTGCAGCGGGCGTGGGCGGCCACCCCCGTGCGCCCCGCCGCCCGCCTGCGCCCGGCAGAGGCGCCGCGGTGCGCCCTGGGACGAGCCGCCGCCCTGCTCCGGGCCTCGCTCCCTGACTGGAGAGGGAGGGGCCGCGCTGCCGCTCAGCGACCCAGCCTCCCCGCCGCCGAACCCGCCGGAAACCTCGGTCCGCACGGTGCTTCCTGGTCTGCGGTTCTCCCGACCCCAGGCCCACGGCGCGGCGTCCCCCTATGCGCGGCCTACGCAGCCTCGGGGTGGCGTGTGGCCTCCACCCGGCGGGTCCTCTTCGCTGGCAGCAGCAACTTCCCGTCTGCACCCGACTAGGTCCCGCTGCTACCCGAGAGGCAAGCGGGAGACTCCCAGCGCGACCAATAGGAGGGCCGCCAATGGTGCGATCCGCCCGCGGGGGGAGAAAGGGGACTTCTGGGTGGGCTCTCCCTGCGGAACACTGCGAACTACAGGCCAACCTCCCCCTCTCAAGGAGCAGGTGGGTTGGTCCCGAGCTAGCTGGTGGGCGGAGGTAACATTTTTATGAGTTGCTCAAGGAAGAGCAACAACCAGGTGGCCGCGTGGCCTAATGGATAAGGCGTCTGACTTCGGATCAGAAGATTGCAGGTTCGAGTCCTGCCGCGGTCGTAGGATGGTGTGATGACTAACTTTTAGTTTATTCCCCTTCAGGAACGAAGTATTGAGACGATCTGAATGTAGTTGCCGCCGATTCTCACCGCAGTTCAAAGATGTGTGGAACGCGAAAATCATCGGAAGTAACCACTCCAACCCACCACGCCCGCAAGTCCCTGCGAGATTGCCCGCCTACCTGTCTCAGCGGAGGCACATTTCTAAAATGTGCCGGGTCTCACACCCCGTCGCAGGTGGAGGAAAGTGGAGAGGGCGGGGCATCCTATACAGAAATCTCAATTTATACTCAGTTGATGGTTTCCAAGAGTTGGGGCTCGCAGCCGCAAGCGAGGCTCTCTCCCTCGCCCATGCCCCTGCCTCCTCGTCTCCTCGTCCTGAGCAATTCTGATGGGTAAAAACGTTGCCTTCCGTTGAACCTGAATGTGCTGGCAGATGCTAGCCTTCAGCCCACAGCGCGGCTGGACCTTGTCCCCCTCCCCGGCTGTTTCTGGTCTCCGCATCCGTCTTCTGTTGCTCCAGGTGCTTCAACAACTCGCAGCGCTCGGTGATTGGTGAACTGTGGTAAAGTGCACGCAGAATAAGGTCTACTTGATTAACTACCGCCTGAGAGTTGGGGTCTGGAGGCCCAGCTGCACAGATGAAAGGGAGGCTCGGAGACGTTTAGGACCAACCGAGATCACACAGCTGATTAGGAATAAAATTCAGGTCAAGCTGAAAGTCGGCCGCCACCGTCCAGCGTGGATCCCAAGACACCGTGAACGGACTTGAGAAATTGACCTTGGCGTTTTTCAGCAGTGGGGTGCAGGGAAACAGTCCTCCGCCGGCCCTGCGGGCTGATGCCGACCCTCACCTGCTCCCGCCACCTGGAGAGGTAGAGAGAAGCCCCGAGCCAAGCAGCATTGAGCTCTAGTCCCTTCTATTTAAATATGAAATATTTTGCATACACTTTTCTAGATGTACTTAATATACACAGTGTTTTAATGTTTGTGGTTTTTTGTTTTGCCGAAAAAAAAAAAACCCACAATCAGAAATTCATCTCTTTTTTTTTTTCACATAACGGTTGACTTTTACAAAATACTGGAAGGAGAGGCTCTCAGCTTAAATAAGGGAGTCCCTGAACGGGGAAAACATTTTCATCTTGTTTCTTCTAACCGCCTACTGATACTTGGCATTTCCTCCAATTATGAGCACAGGCTGTCAGCCAGCGTGGTATTAACAGTGCCTGTGACTTTGTCCCCTCTAGCGACCACAGATATTTTCATAACGCATTACAGGTGCTGCAGGTTTTTCAAAATTTGTTTGCACTCATCTGTACTTCAAAATAACGGTGGTTACTAGACTGCCGCTAGATCCTGTTAGTTAATAAGTTTACCTATTTGTCCTGATATTTCAATACCTTTGATGTTCTTTGTAATCCTGCATGTTTTATGTGCTTAAAAACACTATTCTTCCATATAACCAAAGACTGCCTGTACCCCAAAAACTATTGAGATAAAAATTAATAAAACATATTTCACAGAAAAAAATTAAAAACAGAAAACACTATTCTAGGCCAGGCACAGTGGCTCACGCCTGTAATCCCAACACTTTGGGAGGCTGAGGTGGATGGATTGCCTGAGCTCAAGAGTTCAAGACCAGCCTGGCCAACATGGCGAAACCCCGTCTCTATCAAAAAAATACAAAACTTAGCCCAGTGTGGTGGCACACGCCTGTAATCCCAGCTACTCAGGAGGTTGAGGGAGGAGAACCGCTTGAACCCAGGAGGCGAAGTCTGCGGTCAGCCAAGATTGCACCACTGCACTCCGGTCTGGGCAACAGAGTGAGATTCCATCCCCCTGCCCCCACCCAAGAAAAACAACAAAACAAAACAAAATAAAAAACACTATTCTAAGAAGGTGTCTATGACACAAAAAAAGCTAAGAACCCCTGGCCCAACTGTCCACAGGGGCTGCTGTTACCAGTCCTGATTGACCTCCACTGAGATTCAATCTCAGGAGATGTCCATCAAGATGCCTGCTCCTCACATAGACTACTTCAGGCTAGCCTAGTGCCCTGGCCCTGGAATTAGAATCTTCAACAAGGACAAAAATGTTTAATACTGATTCCTGCTGAGGGAGGGTACCTGAAGGCCTGCACCCTTCCTGCCAAGTTACACCGTTTCCAGTCCTTTCTGAGCCCAGCTCCTCCACTTCCCCTGCCTCCTTTTCTAGGAGCTCCCCCACATCCTTCTAGAAAAGTCTGTCCCTGATAGTAGTTCCTGAGAAACAGTTACATTTTCCCACAATTCCCTGGACCTCTCCCCCCACAGAGCAAGAGGCAAAGTTCATCAGGACCCCTGTTCTCATCACAACATTCTGTACTTTTTTTCTTCTTCTTCAGAGACAGGGTCTCACTCTGTGAGTGCAGAGGCGCGATCTCAGCTCACTGCAGCCTCCACCTCCCAGGTTCAAGCGATTCTCGTGCCTCAGCCTCTGGAGTAGCTGAGATTACAGGTGTGCACCACCATGTGGATCTAATTTTTTTTTTTTTTTTTTTTGAGATGGAGTCTCGCTCTGTCACCCAGGCTGGAGTGCAGTGGCCGGATCTCAGCTCATTGCAAGCTCCGCCTGTTTACGCCATTCTCCTGCCTCAGCCTCCTGAGTAGCTGGGACTACAGGCGCCCGCCACCTCGCCCGGCTAGTTTTTTTTTTTTATTTTGTTTTTTAGTAGAGACGGGGTTTCACCATTTTAGCCAGGGTGGTCTCCATCTCCTGACCTCGTGATCCGCCCGTCACGGCCTCCTAAAGTGCTAGGATTACAGGCTTGAGCCACCGTGCCCAGCCCAATTTTTGTATTTTTAGTAGAGACTGGTTTCACCATGTTGGCCAGGTTGGTCTGAAACTCCTAGCCTCAAGGGATCCGGCCACCTCGGCCTCCCAGAATTTTGAGTTTACGGGCTTGAGTCACTGCACTGGGCCAGAACACCCTGTACTTTCAAAGCATGTACCTCAGTTGTAACTAATGATGATTTTTTAAAAATCTCTCCCTTCCACTGCTGTAAATGCCCATAGGGACTGACCTTATGTCTTATTTTGAGCTCAATTCCAGGCCCTGCCTGGAGCTTGGTAATAATCAGCACTTCCTAGCTTCCAGGTGCTGTTCCAAGGGCTCACATATGTCACCTAAGTGAATCCTCACATCAACCGTTGGATAGAGGTACTGTTATTATCCCCTTTCACCCATGGGGAAACTGAGGCACAGAGAGGCAAAGAAGCTTGCCTAAAGTCCTATAACTGGTCATTGGTAGAGCTAGGATTTGAATTCATGGGAACCAGGATCTCAGCAACTACACTACACGGCAAATACTGGTTTATGATGCTAGCGGAGGATCCCTACTGCACGGTTGTGTGCCAGGCGCTGCAGGCGATGCACGTGCAGACTGGTGCGGCCTCCTACATCACTGCTGCGGCCTCCTACATCACTGCTGCTGGCTAACTAAGTAAGGGGCCCTCAGGTGACAGCCTGCTCCTCCAGGGTCCCTCTCGTGTGCTTACTTCCTGGTGACTTTCATGGTCTTCTCTCCTGTTTGCCAAGCCCAACTCCAGCAATTTCTACCACAGGCAGAAAATATCACTGCTCGTCCTTTATCAACAGCTACCACTTCCAAATGAACCAGGCTGAACGCTTTAGAGCACCATTTTATTTGATCATTTCAACAACCCCATAAAGTAGGTGCAAAATTATTCATTTTACAGCTGAGAGAAGACAGACTCCAGTAAGAAGTGTGAAGTAAGAAATGTGAAGCATGGTGGCTGATGCCTGTAATCCCAGGACTTTGGGAGGCCAAGGCAGGAAAATAGCTTGAGGCAGGAGTTCAAGACCAACCTGGCCAACACAGCAAGACCCCCATTTCTAAAAAAGAAAAAGAATTTTTTTTTTGTAACTGGCTGGGTGTGGCGGTATGTACCTGTAATCCCAGCTACTCAGGAGGCTGAGGTGGGAGGATTGCTTGAACCCAGCAGTTCCAATCTAGCCTGGGCAATATAGCAAGAACCTCATCTCCAAAAAAAAAAAAAATAAATAATAAATAAATAAAACGTATAAAAAGAAAAAAATGAGAATGTGGCCTTGTGACCTATGTGTGAAATTCAGGATGATAGCCATAGACTGTTTTCAAAACATGATTCTTATTTCAGGGGGAATAATTGGTTCCATCAACTCTACACAGTTTACGAACAGGTCAAAAAGAAATTGATTGAAACGCAAATAATTTCTTGAAGATTGGGAAGCTTCCTGATGGGAATAAACTGTGCCCTGTCATCCGTATGTCTGGCACGCAGAGACAGACGTCTGTCGCTCTTGTCCCTACCCCAATTTGTCCCTCCTTAGCTCCTGACCAAGGCTCCTGGCACAGGGAGTTAGGGACAAGGCTTATTAACTAAGCTGAGCCAATCAGGACCCACAGCATTGCCTTCATATCATCAAATATCCAGTCAATGTTGAAATTGCCAATGGCAAGAGCATCTTTTGCTCTGGCTAGTTTGGGCTGGATTTTCTGTCACTTGTGATGGAAAGAGCTCTCACTGATTGAGTGCTTATTACATATTTGCTAAACAAATGAATGAACTTTTTGAAAAAAGTCTTCAGCTAAATTTCACAGAAGTAAGTTTCACTGAGATGAGACTAGCTAGGCTATAAGTGAGATTCTTAGATTTGCAAAATGCTTTGTAGTTTGT